ATGAAGGCATTCTTTGTTCGCTTGCAGAATTGCCAAAATAGCACATGAATATAAAGCTAACCAATATTATCACCACTTGATACATGAATTTAAACTTTGCATGATTTTTCATTCTGTGAGCAATAAGAATAGCGAGTTTGTATTTAAGATAGTTCCAATGTTCAATTAAAGCGCTGTGAAATAAATACAATTGTTTCCAAAAGATTTTTTCTGCATTTTATGTGTTCTAATATATTTTATAGTCTCACTTTGCGTATGAAAATAATAGCCCGCATTGGCAAAAAACGCGAACCATCTACTTTTTAAAAGTTTGTCGAAAAATACAAAAACATTAAATATAAACTTAGCTGGCCTATTACAGTTGAACGTAATGAAATTTAAACTATTCGAAAATTTTGGCACTCCTATTTTTAAAAAATATTTCGCATAAATCCAATTAGTCGGAAACCACGATTTTCATTAAATTGGCAAATTTGAAGTATAATTTGACTAGCAATAATCAATATTTTGATAAGGATGATATGAATTAGTTAATAAGAAAAAAAATTTGCTGAAATGCCAAATCTTGGAGTCACGTATTTATTTTTTATGGTACTCCTGTAGTATGTGAACCAAGATGGCGGACACCGGAGCGTAGGCCATAATTTCAGGCACAAATACTACGACAGTCACTCGACTAGTCCCCGAACTCGTAATAGAACTAAAATGAATAAAATTATGGCATAACCCAAACCTGGTACACATACTGCGTTCCGGTGTCCGCCATCTTGGTTTGCATATTTCGGGAGTACCCATTTTATAAATGTGTAAATTCCACTGGTGATTTTGTATTCATCACCAGTCAAGTCAATAACAAACTTATTCCCACAGGACCTGATAAGTCCCAAGTATTAATAACTTAGACATCGATTCAACTTCGGATCCGGGGTTAAGTTATATCTCGATGTCTCATTAAAGATCAGCTTAATGCAACGCTTCACAAATACGATGAAGATGCGGTGACGCGATCGCAAGGGAATTTTGTATGTGATTTGTGACGTAACACTAATAATATCGTTTGCTGCAGTGAATATCTTTCTCCTTTTGCGCCAATTCAAAAGTAGGAGGGCTAAGTGAATTTTTGTTCCCACTATATTATGTCTTTGTCGACCACGTGTTTTTGACCAAACCTAAAAAGTTGAACCTACCCCCTAGGAACAGTTCTCGCCCCACTAAGAGGTGCATCCGCCAATGGTTCAGAAACCCCAGCCTACAGCATGGCAGGCCTCGCAAGATAGCGCTGCTGAGCAAACTCCTCGCCCTTTCGATTTACGCCTTTACGGTATATGGACCTTTTCCCGAGCATCGACTTCCTGGTTTATTTCGTGACATTGGCCAATCAGCGAGATGCAAAAAGGGACGTAACAATGCCCCCTTTTCGCATCCGCTCAGACACTTTTCTCACTCAGACAGATTTTCAAGCGTGGTTGTGAACATTATCTCGTTTACGCGTTTTTGAACTCTATTCGTTAGTTTTCAGTTGTGTTTCGGAAAATTAAATAAAAATCAGATAACTCAATGATCACTCTGTCTTCCTAGGAGTTTTAGTTTAAATGCAGTAATGAAAATTAGTGTAGAAATAGCTGTGATAGAATAGCCTGAAATTCCTCACCGGTACTTTTAAAAAACAGATTGTTGTGTGCGATGAATCATAATGATGGTTTGAAACACATACCCCATTTTACAGGCGCCAACTCGCAGAAGCACTCCCAAAATAGCCCTGGAAATTTTGCAATGGTAAAGTATAGAAAGAATTTTCCGGGGGTCAAAGGTCGGGGAAAGGTCCATGGATTGCAATATATTACCAGTTATACCGCCTCTAGATGTCGCTGACGATACGTCATTTCACACGTCTAATGAGCCAAACGCTTTGTCATTGGGAGACTGAATTTTATTTTCAAAACTGAACTAGCTACTGTATATCCTAATTGCAGGTTACATTTCACAGATTATCGTTTAAATTTTTAGGAAATTTTGCCATGTTTATTCCATTCGTGTAAATTTTCTTATTTATTAAAATTACTTTTTTATTATTTTCAACTAACGTTTGGAATCAGGTGGTTATTGGATGCATTATGTCGAGTGCAATGATAAAAAATTAACAGCGGAATTTTGGGTATAAGGCATTCATTGAGTTGAAATATTCTGGTTTCACATCGAGTCATCTTTTTGTATTTAAACAATGACAATTTTTCAACGTTATAATTTATGGTCGCACTTATGACGTTGGTAATTCATCTACCAAATCCGTTTTCAAAGTTTAAAAATTCAAATATATATCCATTTAATTGCGAAATGATAATTCTAAAATTCTATGAATTGACCAATTCAAAATGGAAATGTATTTTTGTTTGAGTATTGTCGATTTCCGTAGATATGGAAGCCTCTTTGCTTCCTCCTCTTCCCCCAGAAATTTAACGACATCGGATTCTCTGCATACATCCAAGCACACCAATACTCAAATTGTTTTAATGATAGTTTTCATCGCAAAAATAATATAAAATTGGGGTGAAGGCATTCAAAAATTGTTAAAGTTTTTCCATTTTGAATGGCCTTTTCGCGTAATGTGAACTGGACTTGCTTAACTATTTACAAAAATTTTAATCTTGTGATAATATTTATTATTTTGATTAATCGTATGTGTGTTCCGTCGATGATCGCGGTTTCAACCAAACGATAAATTAAGTTAAGATGATTTAATTATTAAAACAAATGCGCCATATATGAACATTATTAAATTAGAATGGCAACAACATGTATTATTTATCGGTGGCGGTTTAGGTAATGCAATATAAATTCGAGTCATCAGAATGAATGTGCATCGTGCAATCGGGCAGACACAGTGTGTGCGACTTCCTGAGGCTCCAGTGCTTATATTTTATAGCGTAAACCCGTTTCTTCCAGCAAAATGCATGAAATATTAATGAAGGCATGCATGTATGGGGATACCGATATTTCTTATTCGTGGGAGATAGTTTTTGAATTGCTCAGCTATAGGCAGTTGAAGTTATAGTGAAATACTACAGCATACTCATGCAAACTGCGGATATAGAAATGGACGCCATGGGGCTGCTGGTGAACATGAACAATGCGCAAAAGCGCTGGAAACATCACGTGGATCGAAGGCAAATACCGGAATTCCCTGACTCACGGTAAAACCGCGTATTATTTAACACTTAACTAAGTGCTATCGATTTTAAAATAGACAATATAATGCTATCTGAGATTAGTTATTCGCAATTCAGACAGTTATTCTTGCCGGTATAAAACAATACGAACGCGCGGTGTCGTGGATGTGATAGACGTCATGTCACGCATTAGCACTTCACAGAAACAGCCGTTATCGCTCATCATGCTGTCATTCGTGGTGATAATTAACTTGTTGATGTAATACTGCAAGTATTACTAACTTTTGACACATTGGAACAAGTTACCAAATAAAAACTTATTTTTAGGTATTCAAATAAATTTTCCCAGAAATATATTGTGTACGTCGGCCCGTTATGTACGTCGTGATGCTAGCGATGGGTGCGGGATTGTTCTGACGAGCTAAGTTTCGTTGAGTACGAGTTGTCAACGCGTTTTGGATCACGTACGAGTGTACTACACGCTCCTATTCGTTTTTTTCCGATATGGTGAACAAACTTTTTCGTTGATTTGAAATTTATACGAGATTGCACATTTTATGGATATCTTTCTATATTTTTATTTTCGTTTTGTCCGAAGGAACGCTTCGATGAATTAATTTAGAAACATGTGAAAATGTCTAACTGAAGGTAGAATAAGAAAATTTAAACTAACTAACGATATCTGTTACAAATTCTCGACGACAGAAATACAGAATCATCCCGTGTCATATTGCCTGTAATTACCTATCGCTATTTTATGCAGTATAACCCAACAGAGCCCAGTTCATTTAAAATTTTAGAACGTATCTAGAGAGAACAACGCGTCCTAGATTTCTAAACTTTTGGATACAATCATTCACAAAAAGAAGATCAATTTTTGAATAGATTTTCTTTACTTCCGTAGTAGTAGAAATTTTTTAGATCTATTTTTGGGTCACCATGCATATACAGGCACGAAACAAAATTTCATATACAATCAATCACTTCCCCTCAATAAACTAAGTAGTTAAAATACCGGTTCGGCATAGCATACACATACAATTACTTTCCGGAATTAAGGGTTTGGCCCCTAACCCCGGAACTAACTACCACTAATCGAGATTGGCATTCGTATCTTATCATATCGAAATGGATGGTCCAACGCGCCATTGCTACCAAAATATCCGAATCTATAGAAATGCAATTTCGGCACAACGTACGATAACTGGAATGTAAAAACAAACATATTCGTAATGGGATTTTATCTAATGTACAGTACTATTCATGTTATTTTTTCTCATCTATAGCGCACTCTCAACTGGCATTTGATATTTAATTTCAGTCATACCTAACATTTTCTATTATTCAAAACAGAACAAATAGATGACGAGATGACAAATTTCCACCAACGTCAAAACTCTTGACATTTTAATAATTTATGTATGTCATTCTCCTAGCTCTACATGTCGCGATTATTTTGCGACTTATGTTTGTATGGTGGGCCAGAGACGACCATGGTACAGAGGTGGCGATTCGGATGTACCCCATGCTTGACCACACGTTCGCTTTTCGACAGAAAGTCTGATAAGAATATAAGGCCGTACCTGATCTGCCATGAATCTGTTGAAGAATTTTGATCTTGATGTAGTGGTGGTCTTGACGCATTTAGCTAAGTTTATTTTGAATTAAACATTTATTACGAGAAATTTTCCGTCGCTGCGAAAAACCTTTAATTAAATAGTAAATTATAGCCTGTATAACTCCTCATATCTTCGCTACAGCATTCTTTTGCCGTTTAATATCGTCTCAGATCTCATAAATATTAATATTTGATAGGTTGAAGCCTGTGCGATTTGTGAGCTTTTGGTCGCACTTAAAAGTAGAAAGATAGTGTTTCTTTTGCATGAATTGTTAGATCTTCTTCTAATGGGAAGTATATTTAACTCGGAAGTTATCAATATACAGTACATTAAAAGCAGCAACTCGAAGTGTTACTGTAACACTACTAGTCGGGAAATGAGTGGGCACAATTTTGAGATTGTGACAGGAGTAATTGAGGTGATTAAAACGAATTGCAGGCGAGGAAACTTTGAAAATGAAGGAATAAAATAGCGAGCATGAACATGGGTATCCAGGAATATATTAATTTAACATCAGTTTAGAGTAAAATTGGAACACTATTTTAGCGTAGTTAGTAATTTACCTTGGTTTTTATGCAAAGTTAATCAAACTGAAAAATTGTGTGACATTTTGCCTCACTCAAAACTTGCAAGGTCACAAATCTATTAAGGATAAGATTGCAAATATTCGACAAATCTAATAGTTACATATCAAATTACGCTATCAATCAGCAAATAAAGTCTTCAAATCATTGGAACTCGCAAAAAATCATCTGATATAATGATAAACGCTGTAAAAGTTTATGGCAGTATTATTCATCGTATCAACTCGATGTCACGGGCGCGAATAGATAGATTTACTAGTCACACAAAGTAAGAATTACCCAAGGTTGGTCGGGGCCCTTGATGATATTTACTTGATCCATGCCCAACAAAAGACATGTATAATTTGATATTCTACAAATTCTGGGTGTTGAAATAGGCCAAATTACTCTGAAAACGATATATCGATCGAACCTTAAGCCATGACGAAATTCTATACAAAACGCGCTTGCTAAAATGACACATAAGGTAAGCGTCTTTTGGAGAAGTTGTATTGTATCGACATTATGTTGGTTCTAGGTAATAACATGTCGAGCTGTAGATTGGTAGGTAGGAAAGAATCAATTGGTTATTATGGATAATATGGGAAATGCTCATAGTAAAGTTGATAGTGTCCATGAAGACGAGGAAAGGCCGGACGATAATACCATATTTCATGCCTTCGAACATGATGCTCATTCAAGTCCAAGGTACTCCCTGTCAAATTACATAATTATATTCATCAATCTGAAAAATTTGTAATGAATACTTGAAATACTTGTTAACAACCTTTGTGATAGCGAAGAATAATAATTACAATTACATATTTGAATGCTTTGTTGCACGCGCGACCTCAACCTTACATGAAAAAAAAACTATCATCATCCACGAAATACAACTTTGTTACAGTGGACTGCCGCAAAATAACTGGCACTAATTTTCTTCTACAGGGTACAACTCAAACTTTTTGTAAAAGATTCAACATGGAGAGAAAGACTTCGATTTTACTTCGTCAAAAACCAAAGAACAAGTAAGTTAGTTGGATGTATATATATAAATAACGCAATGCTTTGAGTAAAATACTGTCATGCGTGGATGTAGTAAAGGCAACGCATAACTAAAGCAATTGCCTTTGTCGAACCGCTGCCACTTAGCTGCAAGGTTTCTCAATTTCGGTTTACAATTTAGGCTTGCGTTATGTTGAGAATATGTTATAACCTAATCGTGAATCTGGAAATGAACAGTATCAACAAAAGGTTCTGATATCTAAACCGCCCGAATGTGTTCCTTATTTCCAGGTCTCCGAATTCGACTATTTAATTTTATACTCAAAGTTTGTTCTGTATCACTCTACGTTTTTCGAGCGATTTATGAAAATCCGGAAACCACAACATGGTAAGAATGGCATTTGCTTTACATACTATTTAATTGTAACTTCAGTCATAAACAAGAATTTTGTGAAACGACATAATTATGTGAACTTGACCATTTAATGCAGTTTAAACTAAAATATGCGTTCAACAGAGTAGAATTTTCAAATACATATTCATCTTTCCACTGCAGACCCTGCAACTCATTATTAGTATTCGCGAACTCGACCCGGTACGATAGTTTGTTATTTGAAACCCGAAATAGACTAAAAAGTTAAAAAAACAGAAACTATTGACCTTTCCCCGACCTATGACCCCCGCAAAAATCTTCCTATACTTTACCATTGCAAAATTTTCGGGGCTATTTTGAGAGTGCTTTTGCGAGTTGGCGCCTGTAAAATGGGGTATGTATTTCAAATCATCATTATGATTCATCGCATACAACAATCTGTTTTTTAAAAGTACCGGTAAAGAATTTCTGGCTAGTCTATCACAGCTATTTCTACACTAACTTTTATTACTGCAATTAAATTAAAACTCCTAGGAAGACAGAGTGATCATTGAATTATCTGATTTTCATTTAAGTTTCCGATACACAACTGAAAACTAACGAATAGAGTTCAAAAACGCGAAAACGAGGTAATGTTTACAACCACGCTTGAAAATCTGTCTGAGTGAGAAATGTGTCTGAGCGGATGCGAAAAGGGGGCATTGTTACGTCACTTTTTGCATCTTACTGATTGGCCAATGTCACGAAGTAAACAAGGAAGTCGATGCTCGGGGAAGGGTCCATTAAATAGCGACACTGATGTGGAATGTGATTTTGTATTCTACAAAAATTATAGCCTGGATTCAATGGCAAAATATTTGTCCCTTTGCTCTTTCAAATTCAAGATTCAAGTCGAAGCAAAAGATCCGACACAACTTATACTAAATTGTACCGGCAGGCCTACTTCTTAAAACGTTGAGTTTAAACTATATTTAACATACCAACAGTTGTGGGTGGTGTGAACGCAACTGGACAGGATCCACAAATCCATGGTGGACTGATCAATATGAATTTTCTTGGTGGCCAATCATTTGGGTGGAAAGACCATTCGGGGTGTGGATCATACAGGTTGGTATGGGGCTGTCTGTTAAACACACATTGTTACGTCACAGTATATACAGTTATGCCGTTACATTTTGCAGGTTATTCTCGCTTTCTTGAGTCTCATCCAAGCGATCATTACTATATTTGTCGATTACAAAGGAAATTTGTGGCAAAACATATTCACATTAAACAATTTCTTGGAATTGTTGTGTACCGTTCCGTTCATTGTTAGTGTAAGTATATATATATATATCGATTTGCCTCTATTTGATCCACCATCATCTTATATACTCAATATATATACTCAATTTATCCAAATTTTCGTTTGAATTAGCTTGCATTTTATTTTTTATAATGCTCCCCTTTTACAAACCATACATATTACAACGGATACCCGTTGACTATGCAGCATAGGACTATCTCCAAGTTACCACGGATCGCTTCCGTTTATTTGTAACTTATCCTAAGAAGCATCAGAAGATAAAAAAAGGATTTTTTCAAATTTTATTATTTCATTGTTTTAATTTGATTGAATGTTGTTCACAATGGCCATTGAAAGAATCCGAAACGTCGACTCAAAAGTTATTTTATATCGTTAATATTCGAATATTTATCATATGCAGGTGTGTTGGCCTCCATTGCGATGTCTCTTTGTTCCAGTTTTCCTCAACATATGGCTTGCCAACAGCAGATTAAACAATATGATCGTAAGTAAATTTTTTTCAAACCCAATCAAATGGCTCAAGAAAATAACTTCCTCAGCGTTTTACTTTCTTTAAATTTATAAATATATTAAATGGAGGTATCATAATTTAATTCAGAATGATCTTCAACGCGTTACGCAAAAGCAGAAGAGTGCAATGTTTAACCAAATAATTGTTCTTCTTGCAACAATAACTGCATTGCTACTGACCTGGTAAGACATAGACTTACATATTATTGAAAAACAAACTTTATTGATAGAGCATGCACTGAAACTTCAAAGGTGTTCACATCTAAATAGCTATGCATATATATCTGAATATTTTCCTGCAACTTTCCTTGATTTCGTATTAGGTCAGTAAATTCACAAATTCTGAATTTTACTGAAACACCATGGATTTAAATGAAGCTGAATTATTTTCAATCAAAATCACCAAATGAGAGATTATTGTTTGAGATGAACTTATTTTTCATACAACTAACATATCAAAAATGCTACTGGAAGTAATTGTAACTCGTCACAATAATTTAAACTTTCATTTTAATGTTTTGTATGCGTTTCTTGGCATCTTTGGCACGTGATATTTCGCGACAGTTTGGTTGAAACATGATTAAGTATATATTCGGAAAGTTGGGCCTTTTGATTCCTATTAAATTCTTTTTTTAACATATATATATTATATATATAACGTAAGTGGGTAAATTAATAATTTCACTTTGGAATATCTGAGTCTCTCAAGAGCATTTTTCCGAATAGCGTTTGAAAATTCCGAATTTCGATCGAAATAAATTATTTACTACTCAAAGCGCGATTTTCTTCAACCCCATTGCCGCGAAAAAATTTGTTGCTGCATTGCAATCTCACTGTTTACAACTTTCAATTATTGTGTAACCAATTAAAACATTTTCCCTTTTCGTTTATTAGCATATGTTCAGTTCAACAACTGGAAAGAGCTGGAAAATACCGGATGGATATTTTTGATTCGTTGTGGTTTGTTATTGTCACTTTCAGTACAGTCGGTTATGGAGACATCACCCCAACAATATGGCCGTCGCGTGTTGTTGTCATAGTAACTATTGTAGTTGCGCTTGGAGTATTACCGAGTCAGGTGAGGATATTGAACGACTAAACATACAATTCAGTACTAAAATACCAACAAAGGGTGTAACGAGTAATTTGTCAACTGCTAATGCTAGGTGTAGCTAAGAATAATTCTTTAATCAATAACAAGAGAGCAATGATCAAATATATGAACAAGAAGGCCAAAACGAAGTAGTACGGGTATCTAGCCTTTTACAGTACCGGTACGGAAGCGTAGTCTGTGCGACTTCGACTGATCACCAGAACGCAATGAGCGCGAACGCGGAACCGCCGCAAGGTGCGCATTTATATTTTCATGACGTCATCTCAAACGAAAACAAATCCTATAAAGCTCATAGATTTTTTTTTGAATAAATAAAAATACTAGCTTTCTAGCGACAACAGCAATCTTTAATGTAATAAAATGATCTATAGGTTAGGGTCACCATATTTGAAAATGCAAAATTCTCGACAATGCATGACTGTTTTCATGAGCTCGTCGTAAAAAAATGCGCACGGTACGAAATAACAATGTTCTGTATTAGCAGTGTGCACAGTACGATTGCAGATGCAGTAAAATTCCGGATCCCGGAACTTTTACGAAAAATTCCGGATTCCGGAATTTTACTGCTTCTGCAATCGTACTGTGCACACTGTAAAAATTCCGGATATTTTTGTAAAATCCGGAATTCCGGAATCTTACTGCATCTGCAATCGTACTGTGCACACTGCTAATACAGAACATTGTTATTTCGTACCGTGCGCATATTTTTTATTACTAGCTCATGAAAATATTCATGCGGTATGGTAACCCTACTATAGGTCCGCTTCGCGCCCAATAAACATTTTAATTGGGATAGGAATTCATCCGGAAGATAAAAATTCAAATGAGAATTGGCTTGGTCTTGTAACAAACCACGACTTGACATGTCAGCGGTGAAATCTGAGTGCATAAAGTTGAACACTGTCTAGAACCAAATTTGAAAATAAATAAAACTACGTTTTAGTATCATGGTCGAATCAGATAAGTGTGTGTGTTTTTGGTTATCTACACCAAGGCAGTTTTTTTTAACGTCGTAAGATGAATTATTTAATGCAAATCGTCTGTACACTCTAAAATTGTGAGCATTGTTAATGTTTTATGTTTGACTTGAACCCAATTTTGTGAACTTACTGAACTGTACCACAAAGGAATGCTGTCATGTGAGATACATTTGCCGAATTATATGTGTAAAAAGTCGGATTTCTTGACAGCATTCAATGTAAGAGTATTTCCATCTTATGAATAATTGAAAAGCTCATCGCAGCCATAAGACATTCTTCATTTATTCATAAGATTACAAAGCCATCTATTTACCATTGTCAAAATTGTCTAGGAAATTAAAAGATTCCAATTTTTGAAGACTAAAAGTGTTAAAAGGGATGGCCTAAGTCATAGTTTACAAATTACAAGCTGTTGTGACAACGCATTTTAATATCATCATTAGCATCTAGGCTTAAAAAGCAGATCTCTTTTCTTGTCGAAATGTTTTGGAAATATCGAGATATTAAAGCAATGTTTAAATATCGACAAAAAGTTCAAGTTCAATTGTAGGCACGATATCAAATGTGTGATTTTTAACTTTTTTTTTAGCTTGAAGATCTTGCTCATATATGGTCACAACGACAAAAGCAAGGTGGGGAATACAGCAGACAACGGGCGACCACTGAAAAACATGTGATTGTGTGCGCTACTGGTAAGTTTTGAAGTGAGAGTTGAATAACGGTAAAGAGATGAAATAAGTGGGATTGCTAACCTATGAATTCTATGAATGCGTAAAAGAATATCTGTCGAGTCAAAAAAAAATTGTAATTAAAAACCAATGGACAAAACACATCAAAATTTTGTATGTGTTTTCAAACGTACTGTCGTCTAACATTAGGACATGACCATCTTTGTATCACATGAACATTTCACGTTTATAAATAATATTTAATAACCCTTTTCTACCATTTTTGTCCGACAAATTATAAAAAAAACACTTTCAAACATCAGCTTCATGATATATTAAGTGTAATATTTTATGCACAGTGCACAGGAATCATATTTTGTGTTTCAATATCGGTAATTGCTTGAAAGTCTCGAATGAAATGTTGTTGTTTTTTATTGAAGACTTTTTCTCAAACGAGCAGCGTTCAACATGAGCTGGTAAAAGCTTGAACTTAGGATCCATTTTCCACTATGCCTACACATAGTTTACTACTTCCGTTACCACTAAGTCTAAATGCGCCAAAAATGCATTTTCTTGAAACTATTGCAGAGCTACGTCTCGACGTTATCATGGAGTTTCTGAATGAATTCTACGCTCACCCATTCTTTCAAAAACACTACGTAGTATTACTTTCACCAAGTGAGTTGGATGGACCTCTACGTACTTTTCTTCAAATTCCAATATGGACAGAAAGGGTAATTTATCTCCAAGGATCTGCTCTACGTGAAACTGATCTCATGCGAGCAAAGTAAGTAGTAAAGGGCGCCACAGAAGGGTGTTTAGCAATACGGAAGTAACTAATTTTGATCGCCTATTTTACATCTAATTGTGTAAAGGGGCTAAAACCTATGGGCAGGGGGTATATTCACTTGGCTAACACAGACAGTCTTTTAACTCGTAATAGAACTTAAATAAGGAAAATTGGAATAAAAGTATGCACCAACCCTGCCCTGGTACACATACCACGGGAGTACCGAAATCTGGACAAAAATACAAGAAATAAAGCCGTTTTCGGCTCCCCTCGACATGCTGAGGATTTGGTTTATATCTGCTGGCGTATCGCAATGTTGAGATTGATCTGAAACATTCCGCTTTCATGTAAGATGTAATCCATAAAAAATGCAAAAGTTCACAATATCTTTTTAACAACTTTTTGAAAATCACACTTGTTATAAATACTTTGAGACATTCCAAGATTTTTTTTTAATCCCGTGCGGACGAGAGCCGACGCATCGTTCAAATCATTTGACAAATTGCACCCATGTGACCCAAAAGTTCAAACCTCCCACATGAGTTTCCCGCTTTTTTGTCAAAAGTAAGCCGAACTCGCTAATAGTTGAACTTTAATTTCTAAGAACATGGAAATATTGCGGTTAGTGGCTAAAAACAAATTAGGGTTCAATTTTAGTACAACCGTATAAGGCTTAAATCTGGCTGTCCTATTTTACCAGGCTCGATGCAGCGGAGGCATGTTTTATTCTGACGTCACGCCAAGAAACGAATCGCGACGCAGCAGACGAGAAAACAATTCTGAGAGCAATGGCGTGCAAAGATCATGCGCCTCACTGTCCGTTATATGTTCAAATATTGAATCCTGCATCGAAATTTCATATACAATTTGCTGATCAAGTAAGTTTTGTGAAGGAAATTCCAAACGACCCCCTCTATCTTGCTCCATCTCCCCCCTCTTTCTCAATTCTTCATCGCCCTTCTCCCGCTCTTTATCTGGAATATCTTGAATCATAAAAACTGATTTTTTTTATTAATCTTTGAATAAGGCGAAAAGTTTTCAATTTTATGTATACATTACGAACGAAAGGCTAAATAGAACACAATAGAGTTAAGCCCAATGTTGTGTAAACTTATTTTTGTGAATTTTAGGTTATATGCGATGAAGAATTCAAATATGCTTTGTTGGCGATGAATTGTTATATACCGGGATTGTCAACAATGATAACTTTGTTAGCGCATACTTCAAAGGGACAGTAAGTAGGAATAAATAATCAAGGTTGAAATATATGTACACTACGTTTGTAAGGGCACCCAAAACCAATCTGCGAAAATCAGCCATTTCAAATTCTACCGTTCTATACATATTCTAGAATGCATGAACTACGTAATAACCTACTATATTTTGTATCGCAGAGAAGGAAATGCATTAAAAGCTGAATGGAAGCAACATTTTGGAAAAAGCGCGGGTAATGAAATTTATCACGTGATTGCAGAGGAGAGTAAATTCTTTGGCGAATTCATCGGATATAGATTTGCTCATGCGTCTCAGCTGGCTCACGCAAAGTAAGTCGAGATGCATTTTTAGAAAGGTTTATGCTATTGCCAAAATGTACGATGAAGTTACGTGAATTGTTTTTCTTTATTGCTTTTGGCGACTTAAATTCATGTAATGGAATACGATTCTCAAATTTTCGAGTCGAATCTTTTTTTAAATATTGGGAAATGGCCCAAATTGCGAAGTTAAATGCGGATAAATTTTGTTTTTGAAGTTTTTTCAAAACCCAGAATTTAGATCAGTGCTTGTCAACCTTATTTGAAGTGGTACACCCCTTTATTCTCCGCTCAAAATCTGGTACACTCCAACCACCCTACATTTTTAATCGGTCGAAAACATAAAATTTAAAAGATATACATGTTTATACCGACACAATATTTTGTTATTTGTCTAATGCGGTCGCTGCTCACGAATTTCACCAGTCAGTTGTACAAAATGAGGAAATAACCGTAATTCAATTGCTCCTCTCATTAATGTAACTGGATCATCAAATGAATTCCTTTTCATTATTTTTATGAGAGCAGTAAACCCTTGTTAAGAATATTGTAGCCATTCCGACGAGAATGGAAACGGCTTGTGTGCCAGACTGTAGTACCAGAAAGTTCTAGTACTGTCGCCGAGACTTCGTTGGAATTTTCCATATTTTTCGAGCTTCCCCTTTTGTGCCAAATCTGACCGTGATTCAAGTACACTGGAGAGGAACTCCGCAACAGCAACAGAATTCCCCTCTAGAATAATATGTTAGGAAAATTCAAAACCGAAAGCCATTTCTCCAATTTACCTTTTTTTAAATCAGCTTAACTAGTATTGTATAAATCCACTTCGCTAGTTTCTTACGTGTACACCGCAACAGCATTACAGTGCTATGAATGTTACAACATACAACACAGCCTATCAAATCATTAACAGGTGTGGAGCAGTTCTATTTGGATTGAAACGAGACAATGAGATATTGATCAACCCTGGACTTTCTATGATTATCGAAAAGACGGATGTTTTGTTTTACATTTGTCTCACTCAAGAAGAAGATGCCGTAATTATCAATAATACTGACGACGGTGGAGAAATAGGTGATATTGCTAGAACTTTTGCGAGTGGAGCTGAAAAAGCACTTTTTGAGGAAGAAGCAAATCGACATATATCTATTCGCGAACAAAGGGAACAAAAACAAAGGTCTAGCTCTGCAAGATCTGCTTCAGGGGAAGGTGAATTGATAAGTATTGCTAATTGATCCTTTTTGAAATATACCTTCCAGAGATTTTCGTTCAACCGAAATATTAGTTTTGAAGCTTAAATATTCATCACTGCAGGAAATTTATTACACATCATGTGGTCACTGAAACCGGCCTAAATAGCAAGACAAGACTTTACATTAAACGCAAAATGCTGATATATTCCCTAAAATTATTTATGAGTTTTTCTCTGTAATTTATAACAGATTAATGATGTTTTGAATAAAATTATTTATTTTTTAATATCTGATTGCACGAACGAAATCCTACACTTACTTTTAGCATAACAATGCAAATAATATAAACAATTACGGCATATTTTCACAGCTTCCGACAGTCCGTCCAAAAGTTCACTGGGTGACGTAATGTTAGACGGAACAGGTTCAACCGAGAGTCTAGAACACGTGAATACAAACCAGTCAGTAATATTTATCACCCATAATAATCATATATATAATAGATATCATGCGAGAGGCAAAATAACCTCGGCGAAGTATTTTCGAGTTTTTGCATCTCGGATTCTAGCTTAGCGCGTATTAATTTGAATTTATACTACAGTATAGGAAGGCGTGCACTTGTGATATTCACTGTTCGAGTCTAATACACCTTGGTTGGCTTTTATATTGGGTGCATTGCTGTTTTTTTCTTTGTATTTAATCTCAGTCTTATCTTGGTGGGTGTGCAGAACGTGTTATATTGATGAAATATATATTTTTAAACATAAAATATAATATAATTGAAACTGATTAGCTATTTTGAGGATTAGACATTGTAGATACTGAGAATTACATTCGTTTATGGAATGTTTAGTTTTCAGACTGGTGCATATAGTAAAGTTGCAAAAATTGCGTATGTCCCCGTTTTTCTCAAACTGCTAAAAATGACTTACGCAATTCGGTTATTAGCGTGACGATTCCCTCTTGCAATTTGGACACAACTTTATATCGGCTCAGGTGTTATGTCATTTTCTTAAGATATAATGCAATGTATATGCGTGTTTCTTAGTTGTTTTTTTCTTCACATTACAGCGTGCCGGATTTATTTGTGCCTCTAGAATGTAATTCTAAGAGTTATATGATATTTTCATTGTCATGAAAATTTTAATATTTATTTTTGAGGACGACTGTTTAAACCTATGTGTGATTATGATACCCCAATGCTTTTTCTATGCAGAATCGTAATTGGCTTTCCCACCGATCTTTCCATACATTGGTCACGTTACTCCAACTCTTTGTCACATTTTGAAAGAAAGAAAATGCATTGTTGTCTGAGACATGACAGGAGTGAGTGAACAGAATCAATATATTAATAATTAATAGGACGTTTTTATGTCAATTCTGGCTCAGATAAAATAAGAATCGTCAAAGTAGGGCAAACTTATGACATCATTAAATGGTTGTCCTTCGTTTGTGCGAAATGTGACCCGATGCTGTCGAATCCCACACTTCAATTATGACATCATATGCACACACTGTAATGATTGTGTAGTAAACGACAAAAATTGTTTATCAACGAATTCAATATGGTTCAAGAGCAAAAAAAAAACGAGAAATTCAAATTTGTTTTAAAAACATAGCATTGGATAAGCATACACTGGTACATAGATATTTCGGTATGGGAACCAAGATGGCGGACACCGGAACGTAGTATGTGTACCAGGTTAGAGTTAGACCATAATTTCAGGTACAAATACTACGAGAGTCACTTGGCTAATACCCGAACTCGTAATAAAACTAAAAGAAGGAAAATTGAAATAAAACTAAGAGCCTAACCTGGTACACAAACTACGTTCCAGTGTCCGCCATCTTGATTCACATACTTCGGGAGTACCGATATTTCTATGATAAGGAAGGTAATAAACTATTAATTTACGATCGCAGATTATCGTTGAATATTTGATATTATGACGTGTGTATAGGAAAACTAATTCACGGAATTATTTTTTCCAGCAATGCACTCATGAACGTTTCGATCAATCAGAAAATGATCCGATAATCGTCTGCGCGGAATTTGCAACTCAAAGTCTTATCAACGTCATGATACCATTGCGAGCTCATTTCAGGTAGGTGAAACCTTCTACATATCTGGTGCTAATGAGAGAAAATGGTCGTATTTTTATCATGTGTCTGCACACCAAGGATAATATGTACGAAGGCATAGCTTTATGTAACAAGCTGCAGAATTTTAACCACCGCTTTTAAAACATACACTTCTAACTGACAGTCTCTGTGAACTTTCTTCAATCGCCATCAGACGTCAACGCATCATAACATCACCGGAACGTCACTTTTGGGTGTTTGAACTATGTCATCACTCACCTAAACTAGGTCCTCATTCCCACCAAATTAACATTGTAATTTTATTAGAAAAAATTAAAGGGGGGTATTATAAAACCAGTAATTGATCTCATTTTTGCAATTTTCTCGACATTTAATAAACATTTTTTTCATGTAGGTGCCTCGAAAGTCTGAATCCTGTGATATTGATATTAGAACATTCGCCAGAAGAACAATTTGTAGAAGCTATAAGTTGCTTTCCGATGGTTTATTACATGCTTGGAAATATGAACAGGTAAAAAGGGTACAAAAAGATCCACAAAAATGTAAATTCATGAATATACAACATAAAAATCGATGACATTTGCAAAAACTGCTAATGAAAATCTTGTGCCTTTTCTCATTCTTTTTCTGATAATTAACTGGCTGATTTAGTATACACTTATTTTGATTATTATTCAAAGAAATATAATTGTAAAACTTGAAATAGAATAAACGCCTTGAGGTTTGAGAGAGTATATATATATATACCTGTTTGAACTATTTCAATAAATAATTTAATAAATTTTTTATCTACTGTTTTGAATATACAGATAAACTTTATTACACTTTTTTCGTACTCACAGTCTAGATTCTCTTCTGATTGCGGGAGTAATTCGAGCACATACAATAATTATAATCGACAGAATGACGTCTGTTTACGCAGAAGAAGAATATATGGCGGATTCAAGGTAAACAGGAATTTAATTTCAATTTACAGTATGCAAATATAATTTGTATTCTTTATGAAATAAATTGACGGGACCAATATAATTAACCATCTAGGAATTGTTCTAGCTTTCGGAGGAAATAAATAAAAAAAAAGATTATTTCGATTTGTACTGGTGACTGGTGGACCAATGAAATCAAAAAACTATCGTGACTTGCAAGAGAATTCCTTACTTATCCCTAATTATGCATCACTATTATATATGAAGGATTAACCGACAGCTTTCTTGTTCAACTACAGCTATGTTGAATATTTGCCTTCTAGTATTGTGTCAGAAGCTTTTAACATTACAGCGGCCGTCCGTACATTCGCGTAGAGATCAATCTCCTTTTTTTCCAATTGAGTGCGCGTGACATTAGTTTCAGGAAATTTTCCTGAAATTGTGTCAGCTTCGTTTAGTTTGCCGGGAACAGAGTAAATCTGACACTGCATTACACCTTTATATCCACAAACTATCATCACTGGCAAAATTAATAAACTGATACACTATTTCCCTCTTTTATTATTAACAATATTCGCATTACATTCCATCGAATTCAGGCAACTCGTCGCTGCTCAAACAATTTTCAAGTTATTTCCAACAATTCGAACTTGCCTTGAATTAACTCATACGTCGAACATGAGATTCAACAGATTTGTGTCGCCAAACAATCAGATAAGCATTGAAGAATTGCGAAAGGTATGTGATCGTAAGATGTAAAAGAAAAAATAGTTTGTACAGAATTAATAAAGGTGAATCCGATTTACTGAAATAATACTACAGAGCGGTCATGAGGTCTTTTAAATTCCAAGGGGAATTCGTCGATCTCATATACAGTTTTTTGGTCCCAACTGATATACTAAGTGAAGTAAAAAACTTGAATAAACACTGAATAAAATAAAACAAACCTGGTTAGGAAAACTGAGTTCATAACAACGTGAATATTGTAACGGGACTTCATGAATACACCGGTATACCGATTCGCCGCCACAAAAATACCGGTAATCAACAGTAATTCCGTGAGCCAACTTCAAATTTGATTTTATTAAAATTTGCCGAGTTTTCGGTGGTAGTTGGATGTACATTCATGGAGGTTCTACTTGATATCTTCCAGTTCAATAGTCTGTTGACTGTCAAACAATTATCTCAAAACTGCTGACGTCTGCATTTTTTTATCAAATTAAAATCTGATGAATTTTACAGGAAAGGCGTTCAGAAAAAGCATCGTCACTACCCTATCTTTTTCGAGAATCATTTGCATCAGGAGAAGTATTTAGCTCCAGTATGTTGGATACGTTGCTGTATCAGTCAATGGTGAAAAGTTACTTGATGACGTTGTTACGACTCTTGCTTGGACTTCAATATGCCCCCGGGTCCGGATATCTTTCAACGGTATGAATATCTTTTTTTAATAATAATTGGTGTATTGTATTCGCATCGGTAGATCTCCAAATTTGGTTACCTTAAAAATCGTTTAGCCAGTTTGGTATACTCATTCGCTTAGCATATAGCCTAACTCTCATGTATTTCAGCACAAAGTTACAAAATTCGAAGAAAACCGAAAATATTCTTCGATATTTAAAGAGTTCAGTTTCCGTACTGGTGGAATTATACTAGGAATATATAGGAAAGTTATCATTGAACGCAGAGAAGAATCTATATCAAACTTCAAAGAACTACCACCAGAGATGGAATCTTATAAAGGCAAGCTATGTGAGTTGCTTTACTATAATTCAATAGCAGGTACATTTTGTTTTGTTACGTGTGGTTATTTATAATCGGAATCATAAGCAAGCTTGATGTCTTCAAATTTCCCTGGCGCAAGACGGACACATTTGCTATAATCAATACACAATTAAAGTCAGGAAGGAAATTTTAAGCTTGGCATCAAAGTTTTGAAAGTAAAAAATGTAACGCTCGGAAACGGCTTCATAACTGAACGCCGATAACTCAGTATGCTTGAAATTTGAGATATTGTGATGACAGCGCCCGTTGCACATAGTTAATGGTTTTCGAATTCCTTCCTTGCACGAATCTTGCACCTCATAAAAGTTATTGCTTATCCTTACAAATTTTTTTTCGATGCAATTTGTTAATGAACATTAACATTTTTCAGTCGATGACTCGGAGTTACAGATTCCTGAATCTCCACCCAATCCCGTCAAGAAGCGTCGACACAGCATCAATGTGTTCAGCATGAAAAAATCGATCAGATCGAAGTGAATATATGTTTTTATAACAGACTGTTTACTTCAGGGGTCGGCAAACTTTTGTCGTTCGCGGGCCAAAATTAAAGGTTGCAAGTCATTGGCGGGTCGCACATATTTTTAGGAAGTTAAAAACCGAAGGAATGGCCAATGAGTCACATTTTTTCACACATTTTCCAGTTAAATTTCAAGCAGTGCGCGAAGACTGATCATTTGAATGTTTTCTGCGTCATTAAATCATTTGCACTCAGCATCAACTTTTTTACGTTCTGTTGCCATTTGTCTAATTATAATCAAGTATAGGCTCATTAAACGAGTCATTGTGAATTATATACTTGTTAGGTTATAATATAATTTGGTGTCTCAAAACAAGTTCTGTCACGTAAAGAATATAATCGTCAATACAGCTGTTTTGTTATTATAATTCAGTGAAGCGTCGCGGGCCGTAGGTTGCCGACCCCTGGTTTACTTGATAGCTAAATCACGATGGCATTCAAGTATTGAGTTGTGTGTAGATAATGCCCAAGTAAATTATCTATACACCCGCATAATTCCAATGCGAGCAATAATCTAACTAGAGCAGGGGTGGGCAACATGTCGCCCGTAGGTCACAACCCGGCGAGTCAAGCTATTTAGTATAGCCCTTGTCAACACTCAGTTTTTTTCACACCAAGCATAAAATCCTAATCCGACATTTTATGTTTAAAAAGGCGCTCATATGAGTAAATATGCAAAATGATCTAATTTTTTAATTCGCCGTGGAGAAACTAATTTTCTGTGTGGCCTAGCCAGAAGCTAGATGTCTGAAGTTGGTTATATGGCCAATACTGAATGATGATGCCAATATGAAAATACGTCGAATTTTTTTTCTCAGATTGCCTTTCAAAAATCGCAAGCATGCAAATTTAAGCGTGCGTAGACTTCAACTTCTACAGCATAATATGACCGAGCGAGAAAAACTTGACACAATGATACAAGCAAGAGCGACAAGACTTGGAATTAGTAAGGATCAATTTCCTGCAAAGCAGGAAAAAACTTTGCAGAAATCTACCCGCACTTTTGGATACGTTTTACTGAATCCTGCACCAGATACTGTCCTAAAGAAGGGAGATACGCTGTGAGTAATATATGATTTTCCCACTGTTACAAAGAGTGTCTCGAATGTACCAACATTAGTGAATAAATTTTATTTTGCATTTTATTTTGCTTTGTGGGCCAACAATCAATCGAAAATATACTTTTTTCATTTTCCAAGAAACAAATTTATTGGACGAATGACATTCAATAAATTGCGTTTGCTATTTAAAAACATGGAGTAAGTTAGGCGGGAAATTAAAACCTGGACGAAAATACATAACTTCGTTCTTGTATATAAGGATATATATATTTGTGTTCTTCGGAGGCTCTGAGCTTACAAAAACAGTTTGAAAAGGTTATGACCATATTGTGCTCCAGAATACTGGACTCTTTTTGTCATTTTTATGATTAAGTTCCAATCGGAAATTAAAATATTATTTTAACTTTTAAGGTATATCATCAGACCAGAAACTCGTTCACATACAAGCACAGATACCATGAATCTGTCAGCTACATCATCGAGTACCGGTATGAACACCATCGATGAAACAAGTGAATCGGGTTCCGTGTTCCTCGAAAAGGAGACGCCAAAAAGTAAAGTTATGACTAAACAAAAATCGTCCACTTTACCTAACGGAAACAGCTTGATCCCAGAAACATCTTTTCAATGTAATATTACTTCGGACGATGGAACGAAGAATGAAGAAGATATTTCAACCACAATGTAAAATCGTACAGAGAAACGTAGAGTAGAACTATTATTATGGTGAAATATCAAGTACCGTCAATCTAAAGAAAAATGTTGTAAAGTATAGAGTAGGCAAGTGCTTTGGCCGGCATCAGATCCGGAGTCCTATTTTTAAACTTCTCTGAGTCTGACTCAGATTTCACACTTTTTAAGCGTGGAGTCTATATTTTAAAACTAAGTTCCCAAAGTTCATGAATTTTGCTATCCCGTAGTTAGAGTCAGATTTTTGTGTTTCGGATCCCATATTTGAAAGTCAAACGCAAAATCTCCGCACTTGATTGTTCACGTTCTTCTGTCAATGTAAGCTATTATTATTGTTGTTATAGCTGCTTCCTACTGTGCTTATATTTTGAATCGTTTACAGATTGTGGAAATGCTTACTCTGTATTTAAAAATTGCAATTGAATTTTATTTATCTATTCACGGGTGAAAGATTGAAAAACTTGGGTCGATACATATATAAATATTTGTTACATTATTTTTAGTTTTGTCCACATTTACGACCTACTACCGTGCAGTAGGATAATTTGACTTCACTAGGAAACCATGTGTATTTTATTAGAGCAAATTGTTGAGTGCCTTTGAGATTGTTGAATGTCTTCATTTCTACCACTGTATTGTCCATGAATGTTATTTTTTGTTAGTTTTATTGCTTGATTCTTCAATACGGTGCTACACAATAATATATATATATACACGTCTTAAGACAATACAACATTTGTAGTAATATATCAATTGAACGTTCAATTGATGTAGGTTGTCATAAAACTGGACCAAAAATCATCTGGAAAATTCGATAAGAGCAAAAACTGGTGCGCCACGGCTTCCCTCTCCCACGAAATAAAACGATGTCCTACCTTTCAAATGACATGAGTCAAATGACTCGCTAATCGTAAATTTAACCTGTGACAGCGTGTTTGTTCGTGCTTGAAAAGGTGGGCTGGGGAAACCGGGGCTAATCGGAACATCGTAATTATTTCTGGAGTCATGTAACACATTACACAACGTCTTTCGTTCCCCACGTGCCTATGTCCTTGCCACACCTAACAGTAGCCTGTAGCGCATTGCATCTGCAAGAAATCGAGAAGAGGGTATGTATCTTGAAACAGTCATGAGCAAGTTGAAAAGTAAAAGAAAAATGACGAACGAGTTTACAGACTCGAAGAAATTTTCAAATTTACCCACGGGAGTTCACAGAGAATCATATGGGGATAAATCTACAGCAAAAGTTTGATTTTTCACACACCTGGCAGTGCCACTTATGCGCATTGGCGCAGGAAGCATCATTGTTATGTCATCTTTACGATGCAAAGCGACGTATTTTTTACATGGAGACGAAAATTTCATGAAATCGGTTCTTCCACTCGTCTCAAAATATTGTTTTCATCTCTATGGTTTCTGCGTCGCCCATACCAAAAACTTTCCGTTATAAAGCGAAAGCCTCGCTATCTGATAGGATTTTTTTCTGTTTCCTTCTCACACCAATCTTCCGCTCCTGTAGCTTAGGTTTTGTGGATAGTCGGACCTCTGGAGTCACAACGGTCTCAGACTCGACTTGCGATGAATCATGGTTCTCTACGACAACTTCTTCTGTCGGGCGGGCGTTCAGTGGCCAGAGATGAGAAGAAGTCATCCTCGCAAGTAATATTCCTATCCAATGGATTTATATTTGATTTGAAAAAATGACCTATAGCAGCTCTGGGATGCCAGTTGTGGCAAGTCATTGATCATAACGGAAAACAGAATTGGGCTGAGAACACTGCCTCGGGGAATACCGTTTTGTAGGAAATTTGTAGCCGACATCGACGAATCTACTCTGGCTTGAAATGAGCGTGTGGTGAGAAATGATGTAATTCATTGGGGAATCCTGCCGCGCACTTCAATTTTGAATACTTTATATAACAGACCCTCTCTCTACACCATGTCATAAGCCCTTTCAATATCTAAAAAGACTGCAATCACAGAACGCTTATTTCCAAGGGCTTTGTGCTTCCCCATGTAGAGCGAGTATTTTATCCGTGGTCGATCTGTTACTTCTAAATCCACATTGACTTGAATTCAATAGATTATTTGTTTCGAGGAATCATTTAATTCTATTAATATTCAGTCTCTCCATAAGTTTACAAAGATTGCTCGTGAGAGCAATCGGTCAATATGACGCTGGATCATGACTTGGTTTGTTGGGCTTCAATATTGGCATGACAGCTGAATGTTTCCAGGGGGTGGGGACACGACCAGTAAGCCATATTGAATTAAAAAGTTGCAGTAAAATATCGAAGCATTCTGTAGACATATGACGAATCATCTGATAGCATATTCTATCACATCCTGGATATGTATTTTTGCGAGGACTAAGAATGTGTTCAAGTTCTTGTATTGTGAATGGTATATTGAGGAATGTTCTCCCAGGACTTCAGTTGTATTTGTTATAGATGCATTGTGTATTCTAAACGTGTCTTTGATAGCGAAAAAATCTGGGTTTTAGTTGTTTCTAGCAACGAATGAAATAGCATCTTCATTTTGCGGTCTCCTCTACCCTCTTTGTTTCTTTATTATAATCACACTTTTTTCTTGCCACGTCAAAATTTGTCTGCGCTCAGGCGGTCTTTTCAAAGTTGACGCCGTCAGGTGAGCACTGATTTCATGTTTGCGAATTTTTAGGTTTAATGGTTTATGCGCATACTTGTGTCGCTAATTTTTTCATAATCCAACGCTTGTATCTTCAGCCATTTTTCATAGCTGTAGTAATGCAGGTAAACTAAGCTTTGGCCTACAATTATTGATTCAAATAGCTACAAAGTGGAATTGAGATTACAAGATCTGAAATTTGTGAGATAATCTAAATCGGCAATGATTATTAGAGATAATTTCATTCTTTCAGTTAGTTAGCCCATAGCGTAATACTAAATGATTCCTAGTGTATAATCATTGAATCAAAGACGACGGCGTAAACAAGTGGAGGCGAACGAGAACAATGAAATGTTCAAGTTAGAACAAGTAAGAAACCTAAAACCGTATTCAAATTTACGCTTTGGATATATTCCATATATACGAATTGCCCTATTCTTGCTTTTAGCTTGTGTTAGCTTTTATTCAACCTATATAGTGCATCTTAGTCATGTTACATATTCCAGATCGTGTTTATGCAAACTGACTGAATGTAAACAAGCTGCGAATGTTGACATCGGAAACTGCTTGAGCGGAACAAAAACTACGGTTAAACAAATATTTATTAAATTATGGATTACAGTTAGGCCATAATATAGCACTAGACTGAATTGAGAGTATACTTGTGTTCAATCAAAGACCCCTGGGAAGATCTGCCTGTGCAATGATGTTAGGACCATTTCATAAATAAGATCTACATCATTGATGAATTAAAAACTCAACAGAGATGCGGTTGTGTTGGGATGTTCCGGATATAGTACAGGTGATATTTGCTTATTTTTTTTTCAAAATTATTTCAACGGTCACTTCATTTGTTGTTTATATCCAAACCTTTTTTGTCGTGTCAAGAATTTACGTGAGCCCAAGTAGCGTTCTCTTTTTCCAAATCTATCACAGTTATACTAATGCAGTTAAACCTAAGTTTAAGCTACTGACTCGAAGACTCACGTCAGTTTAGTTGAAAAGAGGCGATCAAGGATTAATAAGGTAACTGTTAATTTATTTACGTGGCAATACAGTGTACAATCTTGGTCAAACCAAGTGTTAGGATTCCCCCAGTGTCATTGTATTGTCTTCTTATATTCCCTTGAAAATGAATCTGATTACATATGGAGGTTTTATACTACTGGGCTCTTGCGCTGAGAAACGTATATTTGTTGTAAGTGCATTCAGATTTACATTTTGAATAGTCTTCCAATTATTCGTCGTTTCGGCTGTTTGACAAAATCATTTATTCTAACGGCAATTAATAAATGATTTGGCTTCATTTACAGCTTTCTCGTTTCTTTGCAGGCAATTTATATGCTTTTACAGTTATATGTTTACTTATGCAGTTAGACTAATAGTAGGCCTAAAATTATTGATTGGGGTGGAATTCGATCACAAATTTTGGAATTGTTGGCATCGGGATCTGCTGGAGGAAATGCGGTTGAATGAACATTTATTCAGTTAAGTATGAAGTATTAGATTGATATTGATGACTGTGCATCTGCAGTCCGGGTTAAAGTCGTTTCATTCTTTGTAACTTTCGTATTTTATAAAACCAATACTCTTGTAAGATTTCTGTCAACCATTGCGAGTGTTTTTGTTAATGAAGGCAATAAGTACACTTAGATTGTACAAAAGTGTGAGTGCGCATGATCCATCAAGTCAAAAAATAATAAAAAAGTTCCAAAATAGGCGAAGGGGAGTTTCAACGATAAAGGTTGGAACACTGCTCTAAAATTACTCTTACTCTTTGCAAGTGGCCGTGTTTCATAAATTGAATTCAATTCACACTGAAATTACTTGCTATCATATATTCCAAGCTGAAACATTCTATCTGTACCGGCATAGGCATCTATGTGTTAAGTAAAATAAAAATGAATGCAAAGTAACATTGGCGGGGGTCATTTTGCTTTTGCTGAAATCTTTAAGGCGTTTTTATTTGGACTGGAATATTTCGGATTCGATAATTTCTTAACTTGTATTTTACCATGCAGGTTATGTCCTGGTTACGAGGATAAGCGAATAAGGTGAAAGCGAATCTCACGAATCAAGAGTTTGTTGAAGCAAGTGTAGATATATTTGTCTTTCCATATTTATCACAGTGGAGAGGAAATTCGTAAGACGGCTTATTACGTGGACATCACGGCTTCTCGTCCGGTAATCAGTCCATAACGCCTATCGTGATTAGTTAGCTAGTTATTATTAGTCTTGGATGCATGAACTCAATGGCGGAGGTATGACGGAACAGTTGTACGTAAATCACCTCCAGGAGTCCAACAATCCTCTTCCACATAGTTTAACCCCACATGATTCAAACTTATACCAGAGTATTTCGAGATTCCCATGACTTAACTCGTTATCATGTTGAAACCCTGCTGGAGACGCGCGCGTGCTTCAGCTTGAAGTCCACAATCATCAAATACTTCCTTCTCTTTGCCTATTTCTCCTTGTTATGCGTAAACAACTCTGGTTTCAGTTTTCTCCAGGTTTATCAGATAGTTGCGCACAACTCGCTCTCTAGCGTTCAAGGTTTAAGTACTGGTGGTTGTGTGCTTTAATACCACGTACAATAACGCTAAATAAGTAAATTTTAAAGTAAGTACTATCCACATATAGAAGTTTCCTTCTCTAAAACATAAAAATAACGAAAAATATTTATAGTGCTAATCAGTTCCCACCACGTTCTTAGTCAAATGCGTTCTTCATTTTGAGTATTATCGTTTGCGAGTCTCGTGCCGAAATTTCGGTTAGTGGTCCATATTATTGTGTAGATTTGAATATATATATATATGCATTATTTCAAGGGTTGTCAAACTTTATTTTCTATTTCAATTCTATTTTTTCTCAATTTTGTAAGCTTGCTACAAGAACTTCGAGGGGCAGAATGTATTAAATGTAAAAATGTGCAATGTTTACATTAAAGCTCTTAGCTAGTTTTTGACCAACAAACGTGGTCTACCTCCGTAGTGAGAGCATGATAAATCCTATTACACAAATCCTAAAGCTCGGAAATGCCCGCGGTGACAGATTTTACAGCCAAATAAATACTTGATGATAGCGTGTATAAAACTCAAATATATACGATTGTCAAAATAAGTTCTTTGCCAGCGCTGCTTCCTCTCGATACTCGTTTTGTTTTTCTTGTTGGGTTGAAACAAATTTTCGACGTTAAAATTCCTTGATCGCTAATTTACCCTGTTCACCCCCAGGGACTAATTTTATCCTATAGACTGAGAACCCCAGTTTTTATTTCATAACTAATGCACAGGATGGATTGGAGAAATTGAATTGCAAATCAGTAGTCACTCATTACCCAAGCATATAATATTCTTCAAACGAAAATCTATAGCAGTGGTTCTTAAACATTTTAATCCGCGCCCCTTTTTAGAATTTGTCAAGTTTCGCGCCCCACCTCAAAAATAACTTGCAAACAAGCTACAAATAACGGATAGTTAAACGAAATTATACTTTATTCAAAACTACATGTTGAAATACGTAAAAGGAAAGTGAATATCCAAAATAAATTGTAAATATCCAAAATATAAGGCGGGAAAGAACAATCTAACAAATATTTATATTTTGGATTAGCTAGACGCAAACTGAATATTTGTCTACGCATCCCTTGTGCACGATCGCCACTGCCCTTTACGATCAGCAACTATTCGTATTGAAGACCGATATCTAACTTTATTTTATCATGCAGATTTTGTCCGGATTGCGGAACAAGTGGATTGAGGCGACAACTGATCTCACATCTGTCTGTTCAAATTAGGTATTTTTATAATTGCGCATTGTTTCAGCTAGAATATTCGATAATATTGTTTTATAGTTTTTTATAGCTGTAAAGTCGGGATGTCGTTTTATTTAATTAGCAGTCTTGTGAACTTGAAAGTGTTAATTAAGGCTCATTTTCCATTGTTGGGCGAAGTCCAATAGTCCAATAGTTCATTACCAGTTCGCAAGTTATTCCGTTTAGAGAGTTTTGATAATACTGGAGAGCTAATATTCCAGTTGCGAAAACGCACTTCTTTGCCTCATTCATCGCTGCTTTTTCCCCACGGAATACACCACGGAAATAACTATAGTTACTGTTGCTATTTGCGGCATTAGGTACACAAACTTTCAGAAGAATTTCCTCAAGTTGCCGGTCTGGAGTCTTGAAATCGTCGGACATGAAGTGGACATCAGATCGTTTTGTTATTATGTTATTGTTATTATTGGGAATCCTTTTCTTGTTTGTGATGAAAAAAATCGCCTTTTTCTATTAACTAAAACAATCAAAATTAAAAATTGCGCACCCTGTGGCGTAGTCTACTGTGTACTGTGACAGATTGCATACTCGCACTACTTCGTTTTGATTTTAGTGTCCATATATTTGAGCATCGCTATCGTGATGTATCAAGTTGAAAGCTTAGTTTCGAATCTTATGAATTTTTGAGTTGAATTGTGCATGTCAATGTTTAAATTTTTAGGATCTGTTTTTCATCGGTGATGTGAAATGTAATCCATAATCGCCCTGTGCTATGTTGAATCTGTTTTAATATTTCAGCTGCATTCTGGTTGGAAAGATCAAAGGACAGTCGACAACCGGACACGTACGTTGAAGAACATTTGAATGAATTGTCGTACCATCTTTAATATATAAACAAGTGTATTTTAATTTTTTATATAACCATCTTTCTACCAGAGTTTGCGCATATCAAAGCTTGCCCCAGTAGTGGCGTATCTGCGTGAAATGGCGCCTATGGAAATGTTTAAAATGCGCCCTCTTGATCAATCGTTCACTGAAATTTTAAACTCTGGTTATTGCTTTGGGATTCTTTTACGTTATTTAGGTAGTATTTATCAAAATGAGGTTTCGCCGATTGTGCGCCCTCCTCCAAATGTGAGCCCATTGCAGTGGCCCTCTTGCTATATAAGTATGCCACTGAGCCCAGGTATCGCCCAGAAATTCACAATTCTTCATTTCGCGTCTGATCGTGGCAGAAAAGCTTGATATCTCGATGTTGCTAGCTTTTAAAAAATCCGTCCCTGCATTCCCATTAATATCTCAACTTTATCCACCTATTCTCATACTTTTATTTTCCGAGGACTAGATGTAGATTTTTGTTCTATTGCTTGAAGAATAATAAAATGATTGAGGCCATGTCCGTTCTCCATGCTTATTGGCTGTCGGGGACTGGGTTTTGTTAAAGGCAAATAAGAAATGGGAGTTGGAGCATAGGTGTAAGAAGTGTATCAAAACGTCATTTTGACTGGTTTCTGCAGATTTTACGCTAGGACGTCACAATGTTATGACGTCACACTGATTAGCCGCGATTTTATGGCGCCGGATCCGGGCCGAAATGACAAGAATTTTTTTTATCTTAGGCCGATCATAGGCCATAGATAAATCGAGTATAATTGCTGAAATTTATATACGACCATGCTTGATCATACATGATCCGAATGAAAATTTCTAAATTTTCTATTTTCTAAGGTTCTGGCTTTTCAATTATCTTTATATTCTCTTATTTTGGGGTTTCTGTAGTCCACAGCTCGAGTTTCTCCTTCGTTATATAAATCTTTGCGCCGCTCTTCCAGTGACGACACACATTTGACAAAGGCATGTTACATTCGCGGGATTCAAACTTTAGTCACCTGAACAAATTTATGGTCTACCCAGCGCCTTTACTAACTAAGCCAACTAAGAACTTATAAACAAAGGTGTAAGGTGTAATATTTCTGTATCATTTCAAAGGACTTGTAATTAAAAATATAAAGTCATTTATGATGAATGATAAATATTAGAATTTAGATCTTCGCTTTCACGTTCGTCCTTGGCCTAGTTGGTAAAGGCGGTTGATATACCTTTAGTTTGTTCATGGTGACCAAAGTTTGAATCCCGCGAACTTACTGTCCTGTATCAATTTCGTGTCGTCATTAATTGGATTACGCAGATACGACTTATAAGAACATAGAAGTCCGAAAATGGAGAAAATCGAAGGGTCAACCCTTGGAAAATGGAGACTTTTGGAAATACTATTCGGATCATACATGATCAAGCATGATTAAGGATAAATTTCGGAAAATATACTCGATTTATATACGGCCAATGGTCGGCCACACAAAAATAAATCGCGTCGTTCCGGCCCGGATCCAGTCGGGCCTGCCCCAGAATACCGCTGCTCGCTAGGGTGACGTCATAGCCTAATGACGTCATACGCATGTTGCACACAACCTTTTCTACACTCCGATGATTGCTAGTTTACCCCGAACAACTATTCGAAATCTGACAAACCAAGCCCAGATTCGGAGGAAGCATTAAAATATTTTCTCATCGGTTATATTTATTTATATCCATTAATTAACAAAAAGGAATAAAACTTCCTAATTTAAAAAAACAAAAACTGCAAAGATTAGTACAGGAACTTACTAACTTACAAGATGATAAAGTATTTGAATAAATCTTGAGTTTATATCTATGATAGCAGTCTACGAGCTGATAGTTATTTGATGGCAGCCCTCGCATGTACGCATCTCAAGAAATAAGAAATCTCAGTGTCCCTAACCAATCAATACCTATCATGACCCACGATCTTGGGGGGGGGGGGGGGAGGGGGGATACAGAACTGATTAAAATAAAATGAAAAATACGATTGGTACAATTCTGACAAAACTGCCATTCCACATCTGCTTCATGTGAGATTAATCTTCTTTTACTTCCGTCCAGACCTGAAATATATAAAACTAGTTTAAACTTGTTTAACAGCGTTGAAAGAAATATTTCACAAACCGCCATGTTTAATTAAAATATAACTTCTGGACTAAAATTGCTACCCCCAATTCCATAATCTGCAATTAAAATTACGAGTAAAACACCCATATGCTCGGGATTGAAGTTTAAAAGCATCACTGGGATTCGATAACAGCTAAAATTTACAGCATTCGAAATTTCTCCGCAAATTGATTCTATAACCTTAAAGCGGTGGTCGGCAACCTTTTGTCGCTCGTGGGCCAAAATTAAGGGTTGCAAGTCATTGGCGGGCCGCACATATTCTTAGAAAGTTGAAAACCGAACAGATGATACTTTATAAAAAAAAATCAAGCAGTGATACATCTATCGAATAGAATATCATTGCATTGCACCTCAAAAAATCCCATTTGCGGGCCGGATTATATTACCGGCCCACGAGACGGGCACACGGCTGTTTTCTTCCCAGCGAGTTATTGATGAAACGTGATTCTTATTGTGAGTGATGACATAGCGAACTGACTGAGTGATGGATTCCATGTTCTCAGTAATTTATATGCCTTGAGGACTTATTAAAATAAAAGTTTGCATACAATCATGTTTAAACATGAAATTTAAATATCTTCCGAGTAATCAAGATTCGATTATTAATTTATCAGGTATTCCCGGCTTTAGTATTTGATGCCAGTTAAGCAGGTGCTCCCGAAGTATGTGCACCAAGATGGCGCACAACCTGAACTTAGTATGTGTACCAGGTAAGGGTTATCAGTTGTGCGCCATATTGGTGTACATACTTCTGGAGCGCCATTTAGAACGACCCAACACGCAGTGGAATGGATCTGTGGCCATTTGACGTGGTGTGCGGTCATTGGTGATGGACAGGCGACTATTTTTTTCCCAGTGACTAGTTGAGTTATTGATAAAACAGGATTCTTATTGTGGGTGACAACTCGGCGCGAACTGACTGAGTGATGAAATTAGCAAGTATTCAAAAATGCCCAGCTTTAGTAGTTAATGTCAGTTCGGCACGACCCAACACGCAGTGGAATAGATACATCGAAAAAAAAAAAATTACCAACTACAGCTATCCCGAGACCAAGATATGATTTTTGGAGAATATACGGGTGAAATATTTCGTTCCGGCTCCGTCTCCATATTGAGCATTGCTATCTTGTTCCTTCAAAATCTCATTTCGCATTCGTATGCCTGCTATATATATAAAAACATTTGGTGTAAGAATATTGTGGTAAGACGGAAGGCAAGTTTTTGGTCAGTAGCATAAAGATTATAACAGTATAGCATTATTCTCCAACCTTCACAATTGTAATGCGCAACAATATTGTGATGTAAAAAGTTAACAGAGATGTAAACAACTACATTAGCATAACCACAAAATCAAAACTTATTAGGTATCATACGTGTTTATGTGGAACAAATGATGATCACAATCGTTCATATAAAAAGAGGGAAACTTGTGGAAAAGCGCAAGTTTTATTGTGAAATTTTATTGTTAGTGAAGCGCTCTCAATATTCGAATGTTCACTGTACAAACACGAACCAACAATTCAGGAAATCATGTTTTACGTATACGCCTTTCCCTTTGGAGTAAAATATTGTTCATAAAAAATGAAGCGGACCCACCTGTCCATTTACATCGATCAATTGCCACTCTGGTCACCAGCAGTAACAATATCTTCTACCTTCACAAAGATCTGTAATTAAATTGGAAATTATAAAAACCTCGCTCTATAATAAAGTTGTGATAAAAACCTTAGATTTTGTAACATACCCGCCTTTCCATTTACATCGACCGATCGTCACTCGTCCTCTAGCACAGGGGTGTCAAACTCGTGGGTTTTCAAGGGCCGCATTGCATTTCGGGAATTGTGCAAAGGGCCGCAAACAGCTTTTGATATATTTTGATAATGTATACTTAATAGCATATTTTCAGATGTGTAGTTTGTGACATATATTGTGATGCAATTAAATAGCCGAATAAAGTTTTGTTATTTTCTGAAATCTCAAATGGCATTTACATATTAATTTCTTGGTACTTCACTATTATTGCAAATTTATTTATTACAAAAATCAAAGTTTTTTACAACTATCCAAAACATTTTTAAACAAAGATTTGATAAGAAAAGAATAATACATAATAAAAATGACTTAATCTAAATATATGTCCCTAAAATACTAACGAATAAACTCAATGTTGTTTTTATTACATATGTCCTGATGTTTGGCATCTCTTTTGTGCCACAAGCTTGCTAATATCGGGCTGAAATGATTTTACAGTACCAACTCTAATTAACGAGGTCACATGATTGTCGGTTATACTGGATCGTTGAGAATGTTTGATTAATTTCAGTAATGCAAAAATATTACATTCATCATTTCATGTATAGATCAGTTAACAAAAGCAATGACTGACTTTTCGGACCATACATTTCCCCCCACATTGCCTACCATTGGCACAACGTGGCATATGACCGTTTGGGTTATGGTTTATATATATTGATTTTTAGTAACTAGGTAGTTGTATAATTATTGGACACGAAGTGGACATAACGATCGTTTCAAAATTTTGTTGTTATTGTTATTTGTCTCCGTCTCCATTTTAAAAAAATCGCTTTTCTCTTCGAATACTGGACCAATTGATTTGAAATTTTCAGTGGTTGAATTTTTCTCCAGAAGGCTATTACTTTTTTTTTCGCTATGACGTCATCAAAATTATTGCCATTGGGCGGCGCTACGTGGGCATATATTTGAGCATAGCTCTCTTGTAATAATATACAAACACATAAAAATATCGTATTCGAAGTTGATCTTCAAATTTGTCATATTGAATGCTGAGCTTATTCTAATATTGTTCACATTCTTTTACTGTGCTGATAGAAATGTGCCAAATTAAACAATGTGCTTTAGAGTTTTAGGAAATACAGAAATATTCCACCCCCCTTTTTTCCAAAATGCCACTTTCTCTGTGTACTTTGCGTTTCATTTAGTTCCTGAAGTATATGTTATTTTTTTTTTAATTATTTTTTTGCTAGCTTGAAGTGTAAAAATTAATTTTCCAAAACTACTTTCTGTAAATTGTCCTTTTTTGTGTGAATAATCAATTTCACTTTAAAAGTTTTGAAAAATGTATTACATTTAGATTAAAAAAAAAACTTACAAAATATTACAATTATTGTTAAGCGTTCGAGGGCCGCATTGGAAGTTCTCTGGGGCCGCATGTTTGACACCCCTGCTCTAGCAGTTACAATATCTTCCTTCTTCGCAAAGCCCTGTAATTAAGTTAAAAAATATAAAACCTTTGCTCTATAATCAAGTTGTGATAAAAACTTTAGATTTTGTAACATTTTTAGACCAACTACCTACCTTTCCATTTACATCGACCAATCGTCACTTGACCACCAGCAGTAACAACATCTTCCTTCTTCGCAAAGCCCTGTAATTAGATTAAAAATTTTAAGGCCTTTACTTTATAATCAAGTTATGATAAACTATTTTAGATCAGTTACCTTTCTACCTACATCAATCAGTCGTCACTCCACCATCAATCATGCTAATATCATATATCGGTAGATTTTTCTTCACTTTTAAGCCTGTAATTTGAAAATAATAGTTATGGCTTACTTTTTAACGATGATACAAAGTTCTTGTGCAAAGTAGGAAAATTATAAACAGCACGTTGACGCGGATTACAACTCACAAAAAATATGAACAGAAAACAAGACTTGATCCATAAAGAAAAACGTTCAAAACACGTAAATAAACACACTCGAAAGGTATATAAAAGAAAAGAAACAAGAACTCAATGCTGAAATATATATTTATCATATAACACTCAAAATTCTGAATATGACTGAAAAAATGCGCTACCCAATTGTATCGAAATAGATTATTATTTATACAATTCAAGTTCTAGCTTATATATGCATGAAGACTGGGAACTAATTAGTTGACTTAATTATATCTAGACCTTCCTTGCCTTAAAACTGTGAATACACCTGGCTCAGACCAGCGCAGAAACGACCTCACACTACCACGCCCTAAACCGAAATGTGGCACGCGCGCCAAATATTTTTTTAAGGTCAAAAGAGGAAAAAAAGGGTCAGTATCAAAGAGAAACATAAGGGGAGGGAGTTGTCATTTTTAATAAAGAAATAAAGATACTGTAATCTCAATCTCACTCTAATCAGTGACCAATGATTGTTGTTTACTAGTGAAAATAAAGAACGTAGTTTTATTTGGAATGTGACTGAGAAGATTGTCTGATTAAACCACATTCCATGGAAACTTTATCAAGAAACCTATTTATTTGTTGTTAGTCTATTTGTGTGTCGTTATAAGCCCAGTCTCGACTAAATATGTTCTAGGAGTCATAATAGGGCATTAGTGACGTTTACGGGGCTTCATTCCTTTGGGTAATTATAATCGGAATTGATCTTGTGCGACGTCTATTGACATGGTATACAGCAGGCATGTCCAATCTTTTTAGTGTCGCGGGCCACTTTCACATGGGGAAATTCATTGCGGGCCGCAAACGTTTTTACCAAACTTAAATACCAAATCAATTACAATTTTGTTATAAAGTCAGTTCTTTGGACACATGAACTTGAGGCACCAGGTGCAATTGCAAAATTAAAGAAAATATATATATGATTTGCTTTCTTCATTATGATTACAATTATTAACATAAATATGATTTTACTTAATTAAGGTTTGTTCATGTATCACTATGAAGTGTTTTGAAAGCTAGAGTCCAGATTAGCGGGTGATCAGTTTCAACAGTTACTTCATTAGATCCATCAAGTTCATTGGACGTGCTAATGAGTTCACCAAATTCAAGTTTGTCATTAGTGAGATTCCATTTAAGTCCTGTTGTCGTCAAATTAACTGGATTTCCAATAGGTATTAACCCACACCAGTCACCTCCCAAACCGGTGTTTATGGACACCCTATATGTCCTTCAGCCCAACATCATTTAATATCTTTTTTGATCCTTAGTCACTTTTTATTGAAATTATTCTTTCCGGACGAGAAAAATGACATCCCCTTGGAATTTCTCTGGCAGTCTTTAGCCCTTGTGTCACTACGCACATACGTCACAGACATGCGTTTTACCAAGTATCTCAGTGGTAAAATCAGCATGATATATCGCCCATACCGCGCAGTTCACTGTATGATAATTATCAAACCACGAATCAAGTCGAGATCATCCGAGCTTCGATTCGGGTCCGACATCAAGTTATCACGTAGTTAAAGATATTCTCATAGAATACGGTTTCTAACTAAAAGAATGAAAAACCAGAGTAAATTTCACTATAACATGGGTATTCTTCCTGATATTTTACATGATGCTTGTAGACCTTATTCATACGAAAACATTTAAGCTCAATTTTGATATGATAGGATTAACATATTTATTTATCCCGGGGAGAGGAAAGCCGATAAGACGGCTTATCCATATGGCGAACCACGGCCTCTCGTCCGGTTACCATTCCAAGTCGGGTATGGGATTAGTTATATTGTTTGTTTTCGGAAGCATGGACTTGGTGGTGGAGGAAGTCGTAACCTGCGGTTACGTGAACCACCCAACGACGGCGAGGAGTCCAGCAATCCTATCGCACATAACCATCCCTGCATGGGATTCGAACCTGCGAACCCATGCAGAGTAATTAGAGGTGCGGTGGCGAGCGTATTCCTAACGCTTAGCCCGTTGAGCCACACCACCGCGCCTGCTTTTTCATACCTACTTTGTTACTCCGAACTTAAACACTCGAACAACTTGACTACTGCAGTGACGTTTTAATGCCCCTATATCTGGGGTGGGCAACCTTTTTCGGCTCGCGTGCCAAAATCGGCTAAATTTAACGACAAAATTCTCTCGCGTGCTGACCAAAATTAAAAACGATGCTTTGTTACTTTCAAAGCAAAAATACACAATAATAAACCTCCTAAACATGTACAGACAGATTCACTATTCGGGAAAATATTAGTCCGAAATAGATTCGATTACTTTTCCTATTCAATATCTGTGAGACTTCTGCTGCTGCATTACCGCTGATAGAGATTTTACAGTGGATTTATATTTTGTAAATTTCAAAGGAACTACACGAACTACTGGTTTCAACTTTCAGGCCACTCCCATTGCGAGACCTAATAAAGTTCATACCTGAGAACAGAGATCCACAAGATATTATGTAGATGAAAACATGGAGAGTTATGCAGTTGCAAAGTTTTTAAGACACGAAAATTTTTCGGAAATGACATCCCAATCACGCAATAGTTCGTTTTCTGCACTCCTCTCTTGTATTCCCTTCTCTAATCGCTAATATCTCTTTTGAAATCAATTTATAATAGTAAGTTAGCAAGTAACTCTAACCAACATGTGCTGTAGAACTTCATAAATGAAGAAAAAGGTGGCACAGATGAACTATACCGGTATTACGCGAGACTATATAACCAAATGAGTGCTGCGCTCTTCTAGACAAAATTTCTAGAGAGCCCACTCATTTGTAAGTCATAATATATTTTATTGTGGCCATATGTCATGAAAGGACAAAATGAATTTAAATAAAGAGCGGATTATCAACAAACCATATACAATGAAACGAACGCCAAGTTCCATCATATAATTCAGAGTCTCGAAACTTCTTATCTGAAGAAGAATGATCTCGTTTCTGAGGCCTCACTCGCGTGCCGAATAAACGTGCCAAGGGTTGCCCACCCCTGCCCTATATAGACGTTACTTTGAGTCATTCACCAATTACATATTTTAAGTGACTAATGCCATACACTCACATGAAAACCTTCTCATATTATTTTTGTCATCAATCAAAAATGTCAAATTCGTTAATATCATAATTGATCAAGCAAGTAGTTTGTCTGAATTTATATCATCCTACATCAGTGGTCGGCAACCACCGGTCCGCGGAAAGGTTACTGCCGGTCCGCAAAGAGGTGACACAAAAACGGACAAAGCCGTAATAAAACTTCTAAAATCTAACTACAAAACCTACGACTAAAAAACAGCACCCAACACAACAGTAAACCAGACAAACACAACGCCAGGGGTCGGCAAAACTGCGGACCTTGAGCTGATTTGTTGCGGCCCTCGATTGACCCGACATTTAATACATAACACCAAATATGATTCTAAATTTATTATTGTCTCTACTCGGATTTTTATGTGGTAACAAGTGCTGATGTACGGTGCTTGTTTTGTAATAAGTAGCGTTGGTTGTATATCGTTCGAGTTAATCTTGATTTTTAAAAATTAAAAATGTCCGGGACACGGAGCGACGAGGGTCGAGCATTCCAAAGTGCTTAGACGGAAAAATATTTTTCTTTCTTGCGCATTCCAATACCGGTTTGCTCGATATGTCCAGTCAGCATCGCAGTTGTTAAGGGTTTTAATTTAAATTCGTTACGGAACAAGTCGTCGAATTCGACCCCGAGACCCGGGACTGCGTCACAGCATATCTGTGCGCTAGTGCAAAAGGTGTAATGTGTCGGAAGAATATATGGCCTTGAGCAGCTTTATCTAAAATGCATTACACTTAGAATAAATTTCGTACTCGCCTGTCAGAGCATCAATTGGACGACAAGTTGCCATAAAAACATCATCTTTCAAATTGATAATAAGTAAATAAAAACAATGCATTGTTGGATAATATATTAAAAAACGCCACATACACAGCCCATTGTGGCTTTCAACACAGCAATACAAGGGCTATAGCATAAAGGGTTGTTAGATGAATGTGATGTTATCGTATATTGCTATTTCGTAGATTGTCTCTGACTTGCAAGTTACCCGTTCACCCTTCAGCTTCAACGCCCACGTGAATGAAGGAAACTTTAGAAAACTCTGTTTGATTTTATTCTCAGATTTCCACGATACACAGAATATAAATCTTATAACATTTATCCCCACTAGCTTTGAATGGTATTCATCGTCTTCTCTCCCTATCGAAAGATATCGGAGTCGTATTTATACGTTGATCATAAATCCAATTAAATGCTGTAAACGTGAGCTCGTGATTCACGTTATAAACAGAAACTCCTATTATCTCAATAAGGGTAATTATGTACATCGTACGGATGGGAACTTAGATATAAATATTTCAATCAGTGACAAAGGTCTTGAGAATATAAATTTTAATTTGATAATGACTGGGTGGAACATGTTATGTTCTTAAAACTGGTGTAATTTGATTACTACGAAAGTCTTTGTTCGAATTTTGGGACAACTTAACTTTGTCATGATGATTTCAACATGAAATGGGGTACATTTGGGGGTTAGTTGCTATATTATCTCCCCATCTTACTAACTGGAAGTTCAAAGATTTGGCACCCTCTAATAAATTGAAAATATATAGAAAAATACAATACACAATGTTAAAATTAATGATATAGGTCAAAAAAAAAATATTTACATGTATATGATCTACAATGAGACACGACATTGAAATAAAGAAGAGTTTATAGAAATAGTAAAGATTGTAAAGTAGAATTACAGAAGGATGGCGTATTTTTATTTTAAAAATTTTGGTTTGGACGGTTAAAACATATTTTCAATTTAATGTATTTCGCTAAGTTAAAATACTTATACTCGCTTTATCGCATTGTTACGATTTTGTAGACCTAGTTGGTCAATATATGCTTGTCCCATGTCGGGAAGAAAAAACGCATTTTTAAGTTTATGCCATCTCAGGGCTTTTTTGAAAAAATAACGCTTTTGGATACAATTTTTGTTTAACGAGCTTATTATTTCACCGTTCTATATGACGGCTTTGTAAATAATTAAAAGTATGACTCGCTCGAATCTACTTTTAGAGAGCATTTTAATTCCAACGAAATCTATTTAATCGAAAAGAAATTCTAACCACAAATATTCAATAATATAAATCTCTTTAAAGGTATTTGAAATTAGAATATTCAAAGTTTTACCATTAATTAATTTATAAAAATTGAAAGCCGAATGAAACGCCATGTATATATATAAGAAGAAAAAGAAGTACTTTACCTTAGTAATAGTGGAAGAATGAAAAATGTCTGTCTCAATGAGGAGAAAAACCTGCAAATCATGAAACAAATTGTGGAATTACATGCTCCTGATCTGTATATCCATTAGGTAAGCGCGACAATTTCTCTATTGTTCGGAATAGAGCCGGTGATTTACCGTAAAACAGTCCATATAGTTCATTGTTTTCAACAGTTCATTTTTTGATTAGGTTTTCCACCTCGAACATATATCATGTTCTAAAAGAGTTCATTTCGATCGATGTTCAATACAGTTCATATTCATGATTTTAACGTTTCCAGAGTTCGTTACCATAGTTCAACTGTTTTCAATTGAGATTATTGTCTTTTCATAATGTTTCTGATTATATCGGCTTGTCAACAATTTGCTACTTCAATCGTTGTTCCAGGCAATTTGAATCTCCCCGACGTTCGTAAATTGGTCGAATTTGATTTTCGCACGTATTGTAGAGACGGTTTCTCGGCAATTGTTGAAAGCTTTCGCTTGGTCAGCTTTTTCGTTGATTCCGTCCAATTGTTGCTTGTCCTGGTTGTTGTCCGTTGATCTGACTCCATATCAGAAGGTTGCGTGTTCAAATCACGTCGGGATCACCATTTATAGCATAAAGGGTTGTTAGATGAATGTGATGTTACCGTATATTGCTATTTCGTAGATTGTCTCTGACTTGCAAGTTACCCGTTCACCCTTCAGCTTCAACGCCCACGTGAATGAAGGAAACTTTAGAAAACTCTGTTTGATTTTATTCTCAGATTTCCACGATACACAGAATATAAATCTTATAACATTTATCCCTACTAGCTTTGAATGGTATTCATCGTCTTCTCTCCCTATCGAAAGATATCGGAGTCGTATTTATACGTTGATCATAAATCCAATTAAATGCTGTAAACGTGAGCTCGTGATTCACGTTATAAACAGAAACTCCTATTATCTCAATAAGGGTAATTATGTACATCGTACGGATGGGAACTTAGATATAAATATTTCAATCAGTGACAAAGGTCTTGAGAATATAAATTTTAATTTGATAATGACTGGGTGGAACATGTTATGTTCTTAAAACTGGTGTAATTTGATTACTACGAAAGTCTTTGTTCGAATTTTGGGACAAATTAACTTTGTCATGATGATTTCAACATGAAATGGGGTACATTTGGGGGTTAGTTGCTATAGGGCAACAATGCGAATGCGCCATTGAAGTTCAATTAATGTAGCGATTGTTCGCAGGCGGAAATAGGAATATTTCGGCCCGCGCGCTACCGGAAATGTGTATATTTGGCCCGTAAGTACATGAAGTTTGCCGACCACTGCACAACACTATTGAGCAGCATGTCTGACTTTATAAACAATTGCCATGTCAGTATGTCACAATATTACGGGGTCAATTGTTTTCTCTACGCCCGTATAAGAATGCTTCCCATCAGTCCGAATAAGACCTCCATAACAAAATGATACAGGAATTGTTAACTTTCCCAAAATCTTATCAATATGAGGCCTGGTTTTCAATATTGATAACTACAAAAACGAAATATCGAAGTAGGGTGGATGTAAGAAACACGTTACGTGTGTCAATGTCGACCATATCTCGAATATGGGAACAGTTAATGGCCGTCAAACAAATACAGATATCGCGTTAAATAGCATCACCGTCGTGTTTAGTATATTGTCAACATAAATTTCATAATGCGTTTAATGTATTGCATAGGCTTAGTTCGTTTGTTTATAGGTGGTCCGCCAAGATTTTGGTCAGGCTTTACCGGTCCGTCACTTGAAAAATGTTGCCGACTACTGTCCTAGATGTCTCATCACATCTAAAGCTATTGTCTTCCACGTTATAAATATTGAGTGGTACTGGTAACTGATATCGATCTCCACATGATCGTATTGATACCGGTTGATATACAGTCTATACCGAGAATTTGTTGCTTACAATTATATTTTGTCGTGTTAATGTTTTCTGTTTGACAAAACAAATAAACTCTCTACTTAAAATATGAGAAATCTGTTACTATTTCGAGATGTTCAAGACTTGAAGAGCAAGACATAATAATATATCAATCATACCATATCATGAAAGAAATTTTAAGAATAATTTACAATGTTTAGTTGAATTTAATTAGCTGATTTTGATTTAATTCAAATTTGGCATACGACTCGATCACTCTGCATAGAGAGATTTCGTTAATTTTAGTCTCTCTATGCAGAGTGATCTCAGTCGTACGTCAAATTCAAAGCTATCCCGGCAGTCTTCATCGATCATATTGTCATAGAGAGTTCATGCGCATATTCTGTCTAAATATCGGATCGAAAATAGAAAGGAATAGACGCTAACGATCCGAATTTGGATTTTTTTCATGTACAGCAAAAGGAATAATGAAATAGTCTGCTGTTTTCAAGCATTGAGATTTACTTATTAGCCAAAGCATGCTTTTCTGTAGATAACACCTTCAAAAAGACGTTGTTAAATGTTACATTCACGTGAACGTCCGAACAGGACCAATTAAAATTGATTTTACATGTGATACGTTCGCTAACAATGTTAGCGGGAAACAACGAAATAAACAAAATACCACATTCACCGTCAGTAAGTAGGCTAGCGTTGGGCTACACAGCAACAACAGTGACAAGAACATGTTCGCGCATTATGCTCGACCGCATTTCGTCAGCCCTATATTGCCCCCCCCCCCCCCCCCCCCCCCCCCCAATATGACTTTAGCGCTACCACCCCTGTAGCGAAGTTCCGAGAGAAGATTTTTAGGCTTATGTAGTAAAATCGGAAACTGTAAAATTACATGATCACAGCTAATGGGCTGTTCTCTTTGGAGGCGTCCGGCTTTGAAGTCAAGAAAATATGGTAACCGTGGGTCTACCCAGTACCGAACTCCAACAAAAAAATTCAAAAATGAAGGAATCCTAGTTGAGGTAGCACATCAAAAAACTAAAACAATATTGAAATATGAAAAATAAAGGGAAAAACCCCTATAATATAATATCCAAATTAAAACAATTTACTTGATATAAAACATATAGAGGTGTTATATGTGATAATAACACATTTTTCATTCATAATCTAATGTGTATCATAAGATGATGAATAGTCCAGCAGTTGTAAAAATAAATTAAAAGTGAATGTCTTTGACTAAAATAACACAAACTGTAAATTATTATTAAAACTGGTGTAACGCAGATGCAGGGTTACTCTTGAAATGGAGTTTGGGTGAGAATGTCAAACATTTTTTTTTAATTTGTGGCAACTAGTCTGATGATTTGGGAGCTCATTTTGCAGAGCACATTGTCCAGTTACTAGTCAAATTTGAGACTGGAAATAGCTAATTGTTCTGAACACATGAACTTGAGGCATCAGGCGCAATTGCAAAATTAAAGAAAATACATGATTTGCTTTCCCTTTTTTGGATTATAATTATTGACATAAATATGATTTTACTTAATTAAGGTTTGTTCATGTATCACTATGAAGTGTTTTGAAAGCTAGAGTCCAGATTAGCGGGTGATCAGTTTCAACAGTTACTTCATTAGATCCATCAAGTTCATTGGACGTGCTAATGAGTTCACCAAATTCAAGTTTGTCATTAGTGAGATTCCATTTAAGTCCTGTTGTCGTCAAATTGACTGGATTTCCAATAGGTATTAACCCACACCAGTCACCTTCCAAACCTGTGTTTACTTCAATTATACTTTTTCCTTTGGGTAGCGAGCAAACGTAAGATGAACCAAACATAAGACAAATTCGAACATGTTGTGGAAGGAAATTTGCTGCTTGAAATAAGGTACTTATATTTGCCATACTATGATCAAATCTATCTTGTTTTCCACCCAAGGCAACAATAAGATTAACGTCAATAAGTTTTTGATGAATTTTTTCAAATATTAATTTTAAGGACTTAGTAAAGTCAGTGGCATCTTGATCAGGTGTATGCACTATAGATATTCCATTTTGGTTCTCGTAAAACTGCTTTGCTTCAGGTCGAATAGAATCAAAATCTCCACTTATAAGATCAGGCATGTGTTTCGTTCTGTTACCATTTGTACCTTTCTGTATTACATCATAAACAAAGTTAGCTCCACCATCTGCACAAGCTCGAAATACCGCTTTGTCCCATAAGTGATGGAATATTGGTGGAGAAATATCACATCCTAAATCCATGTTAAGAATAAGCACTGCAATTTTTTCAGCATTGTTTTTTGTAGATTTCATACACTGTAGTGGGCAAAATCTCGACATATTTAGTCTTATTTCTACTTTACAGCAGAATCTAAACAGGTGTGAGTATAATTATTAGTAAACTGAAGACAAAAAGCTGTCTTGAGATTCCATCCTTATAAATATGTAAAACACAAAAAATATTCATAATAAAGTATGGCAAGGACAACCTTCTTTATTTTTTAAAACTGCTCATACAAGTTTTGAAAGCAAATATGACACTGATTGGAAATCTATAAATAACCGTTTTTTTTTGCAATTGAATCACTATAAAAACTCGAAATATGATCGCTTTTGAGAATCATTGGCACATGGCTTTCCATACAAATGAGTTTTGATGTTGTCCCCAACCCTATATTCATTTAGACTTAAATTCATGATAATAGTATGATTTGATATTTCTAAATCCAGATACAGAAAAAGAGCATTCAAATATCTTGCTTTCTATTTGAAAAAAAATATTGAGTGGTACCGGCCACCGGGTACCGTAACACACATGAAATAAAGTCTGATGAAATATATAAGTATAAGTTTATTTAGACTCCATAATCAGCATAACAATGAAATGATTGGTAAAAAAAATAAATAAAAACTGATTATGAAATCAGGAGAACAAACAAAACCTTAGATAAGGTTTAAAACGTACCGGTACAGAATGTATACGCTCACACGCACAACCATACAGAAGTTATAAATTACATACGGGTGGTTAAAAAATTACTTGCCACACCATATTAATAAATTTGTAACGTTTGCCACTGCCGAATTGATAGATTTTATAAATGGGAGTGAACAGTAGAGATAAACTTTTATGAAAAATATATTGCCAAGCTGATTATAGTTGGAGTCAATTGCCAAAAATGCCCAACCAAAGTTGCCAGAATTGGGTGCATGAAGTGATAGGATACGGTACGGGTACATCACAACACGAGTGCATAAAAACTAATGGTAAAGGTACCGTACTGTACTGTATTGTATAGGTTTATTTCGACTCCATAATCAGCAATAGACGATAAAATAATAGATAAAAACAAAAATGAAAGTAACTGATTATAGAATCGTGAAAGCGAACAAAACCTCGAGTAAGGTTTGAAACGTACAGATTTTAGGATAGGATTTACATATTTATCCCGGGGGAGAGGAAAGCCGATAAGACGGCTTATCCATATGGCGAACCACGGCCTCTCTTCCGGTTACCATTCCAAGTCGGGTATGGGATTAGTTATATTGTTTGTTTTCGGAGGCATGGACTTGGTGGTGGAGGAAGCCGTAACCGACCAGCGGTTACGTGAACCACCCAACGAAGGCGAGGAGTCCAGCAATCCTCTCGCACATAACCATCCCTGCATGGGATTCGAACCTGCGAACCCACGCAGAGTAATTAGAGGTGCGGTGGAGAGCGTATTCCTAACGCTTAGCCCGTTGAGCCACACCGCTGCGCCTGGAAAGATGGAAAGGTATGCTGCTCGTAGATTGTTACCGTAACGTAGGTATTTTATGGTTCCATTACATTCAGACATTATCGGTACAAAGAATGCAGGAATGTACCGGTACGGTACTACTGCCAGCCCGCTGTGTATCTGTGTACAGTACCGGTACAAAGACTCAATTAGTCGTTTTATTGACGCAACTGCTACATAAATCTAGTTCACAGGTTTAAAAAACGATTGATTGAAACGCGTTGCAATCGCATTTCCTTCCACCGGAATGAATATGAAAACCCTGTCCTAACAGAAGTGCACGTGCTGAAGTCATGGGATACGGTCGTTCTGTTTGTAACATTCATAGCTGCTGTTCCGCCCACGACACACCTCATATAGTTCAACCAATAGCAATGAGAGAAAAGGCTTTTAGCAGTACCAATGACATTGGCAGTACCGGACTCCCGGTCGGTACACATTTGCGGCGAATTCTATAAACTCTGTGCACACATTCTTCTATTTGTGCACACATGATGTTTGTTTAATCCAAGTATATATCGCTTTTAGCGATATAGCCACACCAATTCATTTCGTAATACACTTTCGTTTTTATTTCGTTCAATGAGCATATGAGCATATATATGCTCATTGTTTCGTTTTAAAACCTTATTGGACACTAAGTGGACCTATGGATCTTTTTGTTATTGGACACGTAAGTGAACCTATGGATCGTTTTAATATTACCGTGTTTCCCCGAAAATAAGACTGGGTCTTCTTTCAATTTTCCTACAAAAAATAGCACTAGTGCTTATTTTCAGGAGGGTGTCCTATATTTTCATTTATCAAAAACAAAGCGAGAATATCGGTCGGAGACCGAAGAACGAAGGTTAGGGGATCCCCCAAAACAGCGCTCTTACTCCATAGTGACACCTTGTGTCCCATCACTAATTAGATATCGCGTGCATCTAACAGACATACAGACAGACAAATACCTATCAACATACTTACCGATTAATATTGATAAGTAATAAAATCGATAAGTAACAAAATTACTAAGTAGAGAATTACGAGATTTTTAAATATACGAAATATGAAAACCGATATCCATTCACTTGTAAATAACACATTTTTATTTAAAATAACTACTAAACATAGATTATTAATCATTCAAAACGCGTAAGAGAGATTTCTTGCTATCGACTGGGCCCAAAAAAAAATCGCGTTATTGACTAGGTCTTATTTTAAGGAGAGGGCTTATAATAAAATAATTTTCAAATTCCAGACTGGGTCTTATTTTCAGTGTAGGTCTTTTTTCGGGAAAACACGGTATGTTCTTGTTCGTTGTCACAGAAAAAAAAAACGCTTTTTTTTGTTCGGACAATAAAAGTGTTTGTTTTGTATTGCACTGTTTACCTATTTTTGGCACTATTGTTGCCCGCACAATACAAAAAATAATAGTGTGGCCCGCAAGACCGACAACCTTGGATCACCCTGACATAGACCATAGAAACCACGGAACCACGGATCTTGGATCACCCTGACATAGACCATAGAAACCACGGAACCACGGATTGACATATACCAGAGTGAGTACTAGCCCCAGAGATGTCGGCTGTCGAAAAAGTTGCTTATTCTCAAATTTTCTTTAAATGTATATTTGTCCTTTCATTTTAGTGTGGTTCACACTGATAAACCCGAATTTTTTCTCCTCGACTCCACTTTAAATAGAACTGACAGCATAATTGAAAAAAAAAAATTTTCAGTCATAAACAAAATGTGCTTTAGATTTAACCAAGGCCGTGGTGTTGGGAGTCCGTATTGAAATTCTGAATTCTCCGAAGTCAGAAGTATTGCACTGTTTAGAAATTCTTGGTACTATTGTGGCCCGCGAGGCCGTCAACCTTGGACCTCCCTGCACTATACTATAATAGACGACGTCTAACTTATCGATCGGTATTTAATTTGCAAGAAGCTCAAAAAATCGCTTTTCTCCGTAACTAATGAACTAATCGATTTCTGATTTTCAGCATTCTAAGATGGTTGAAACTTTCATATACACGTCCTGTGGAAACCAGTACTCCACCTCATTTTGCTGTTTTATTTTAAATTACAAGGTCACTTTCATATATCATGTACACACACACAGTCATATGATAACTCTTACAATTTTTGGTACTCCCGTAGTATGTGTATCAGGTTAGGGTTAGGCCATAATTTTATTCCCGTTTTTCTATTTTAGTTCTAAAACGAGTTTGAGGACTGTTTGTGTTAACCAAGGAAATAGTGATTAGCTGTGGCCGGAACGCACCAAACGGCTTTCCGGTTGTTGGACATTTTATTGCATTTGCGTTCCTGTTTTTGAAATAAAATGATGCCACATAAAGTCTAGTTTCTCTGGTAAACCTAGTTATTAACTTATGTTTGTTTTGTCATAATTCTTTTTACATCATAGCAGACAAGTACTTGGTACAACAGTAACACGTAATGGAGGTTTCCCCGACCTTTGGCCCCATGAAAATTCATCCTATACATTTCTGATAATAACATTTGTATTGAATTGCTATGAATAATCTTGTAATTCTACACAGATATATTTCAGATAATTTCTTCATATTTCATTGCAGTTCTTCGGCTCTATATTTGGGAAGATAAAAAATTTCTGTAAGCGTCTGAGTCGTGTTGTAAATATATTACATTTTCAAGAATTAGGCGCGTTCCGGTTCATCCTGTTATGGCAGGAGAGAAAACGGCCGTTAAACGAGGGCGCCGCCGAGCCACAAATGAAACTTCATCGCATGAAGTGCAGTCAGTTGCACAAAAAGTGATGAAATATCAAGCTTGAATAACAATTGAATTCCATCAAAACCTCTACACCAGGCCGCACAGAATGATCTAGCGGGCCGCATGCGGCCCGCTAGATCATTCTGTGCGGCCCGCAGGTTATTTGGAAACACGCCACTTCTCGGGTCTAACAATCAAAGCCGGCATTGTTATGCAAGCGCGCCGCTACTCCGATCATATTCGAAATCGTGAGATTTAGGTTTTGCACTAGTTTCAATAAATATCAAACTTTGTGTGAAATTGGTGTGCCCTTAGCGACCTCTAAAATTCGTTGCTCGACCCCTCGCCCCCCAGTTTGGGAAACCCTGATTTAGATATCTCAGTATTCAGACTGAATCACGCTTAAAACAATATCGGTATACAATCTCACACCCATTAGTGCATATTAGCAACCTATCAATAATTTACATTATTTTTTACTAGCAGTTTATGAAACTGAAGTTTCTTTTTTGATCAAATTTAGAACTTAAAAAACAATTCCTTCATTTATGAATGGTGCAGAAATTCTGCAGATATTGCTATTTACTGTAAAATTTCAAATAAATTGGAGCAGATTTTGTAGAAAAATGTAATTTAACAGACAGAAATATCCAATAATGGTAGATATAACTAAATAAATTGTCATACATATATTTGGGACGTTTTTACAAAACTGAACCTGAGTAAAATATTTTCCTGCAGTCAGTTTTTTTACTGCAACACGCAATACCTAATTCTAATAAAAAAGAAATATTGAAAATGAAGGGTGGGTTTTCAAGGTAGATGAACCACATACATATTTGCCATCTCATATGCAAAAATACTGTACCTTGCTTTTACCCAAGAAAATAAGATTTTTCATATTTTTAAGCTCCCCAGTAATGGAAGTGTTTCATTAAATTTAACTGTTTCACAATATTATTTTGATTTGTAGTTCATCTTGTGAAATATGTATGTGGCAAGGTGTGCGGTCCGCCGGGCCTTCGGATTTATGCTTGCGGCCCTCGTGTTATTTGAGTTGTGCAGGCCTGCTCTACACAATGGGCCCTCATGACAAAGGCGTTTATGCAGTGTATAGGAGTAATTGAAAGTCGAAGCCCAAAGCTGAATTTGAATGGAATTTTTTTGTCATGGAGCCCCCAGCTTTGAAGTATTTACAATAACCGGTTTTGCATCAAAAAGAGGTTTATCGGTGTTTTATTTATTTTTTGAGCGTTTCGTGTTTTTAGAGATGAGGGAGTAGACGTAGAACTCTGAGATATAATTTTGTCAACAGCTATAATTGAACAATAAGAAATAAATTGCTCATATTTTAATTCGGTCGAGTCATCTATCCATTAGAACTATATATCCTAATCTCACATGGACATGATGTAGACATCTTACGAAATCAAGACTATTTCTATATTGATCAATTATGACGAAGCTTAGCTCATCTGTTTACAACATATCATAAATGGCGCATGCCTGTTCGAACGAGAAAAAAATGTGGACTTAAATTCGTGCGTAATTTCGGCTTCATATTATTTTTACTCACATAAGCAATTAATCACACATTTCTCGCCGACTAAGAAATAAAATGTAATGGTGCAATTAAAAAATAATAATAAAATTAAGATATGCCTATTTTTATCGTGACCAAATCTGATCAAGTCTTGTCAGATTATCGTACACTTGTCTCCCTTTTTTCTTTTTTGTGTTGTTGAACTTGTTGACAAGTCAATTGTTGTCTCGAATTCATTCGCGTGAGAGTATTGCTGTTTGAGCGTTAAGGACAGCAGAAAGTTTTTTCAAGTTCTTATGCGATGTGCTGTCTATGAAGTGCTTAACAGTTTAGTTTTGTTGAATATTTAGTACCATTCCTATAATATTTTTCATCGTGCCTAATTAAGTACACATGTTGCATTTATAGAATGCATTTAAAATTTGTATTGCAATTTTATTCAATTTACTTTTCGTTATTGAGGCCATGACAAAATGATTATAAATTTAGAATATTATTGAAGCATTCTAAGGATAATTATTTGTACAATAAATTTTAGAAAAATAGTTCATAGCATTGTTTTTGTTGATATGAATAAACCTTTTTTGTCAACGACTACTCACACAAACTTATTTTTGTGGCGTACTTTTTTGAGAAATTTGGAGTATAAAGTTTTTCTGATAAAATCTGTAGCTAAACATGAAATCTTACTCAAGCGGAAACTTTTAGTTTTTTCATCACAAAAACTTGTTTATGTTTTGTATATCGGAAGGTTGCCACGAAAACTAGAAGACAAAACGATACAAAATCTCAATGAATTAATTTTATTTTTATTTCAATGCGTGGTTGCTAAACATATCATATTAATTGAATTTACTCTTTCTCTACAAATTAAATTTAAATATATATACATGCACACTAAATAGATACATCATCAATTAATAATAATAAAGCATTTATTTTTTGGAAATATCATGAGGGAGTTACTTCTGTTTTTGTCAGTTATACTGACAGGAAGTCAAGCAGCTTCGGTAAGAAATTACTATTTTTTGTGATTTACTATTATTTAAAACAACTTCTTCATTTTGTTATTATGAAAATATGCACACTACTCGCATATATTTTACCGACGGTAAACCGGAAAAATGAACTTTTTGGGACTTTGTATAGAACTTAGAATGTGAATATATTTTTTATTAACATGGTATTCTTTAAAATAACATCTAATTAAAAAATCCAGATTTCTTAGTGAGTTTATTGGAACTAAAAGTTAAAGGAAACCCAAATATCTAATTTTACTACCAAATACACAGACTGATAAATCAATTTATGGCACATTCTTCGATGTGTTTTCGTTAAAAAAATGGTCGCTAAATAATTCTGATTGAATTTATATGACATAAGAAATAATTGTTGTTAATTTCAGCTGATTGGATCCGATCATTACTATCAAGTATTTGCGATTGGATTAGAAGAAAAGGCCGCCAAGGAGGGAGGACATAGAGATCTTATGTATTTGAGATCAGACTATAATCCATGTAGGTGTCAAATCAAGATAAATAATTACTAGTTTCCAATAGCAACCAACCAAATAGTATTTTGTAAAATAAAGTCACTGTAAAATAATCTCATAGAGGTTTGGATCAATATCATGGGCCAATGGCGCTCAGGTACACAAACACTCAGGTACACATGATGGACTGTAAACCTCGAGCTGAAATGACAACTCGTCCAGTAACGTATCTCAATCTCATTAGGTAATATATAGAGCCTTAAATTAACTTCGTTTGTTGTCTCTTAGCGCCCTCCTGTCGGCTTGTGTAAAGCCTCGTTTGGTGCTTATATATTGCGACGTACGTATTGTCACGTTTTTCAACAAGAGAATCGATTCCGGATTTTCTTGAAATCGAAATAGACCCATGATATGTGAGTATAGTTAATATCGTAATCCAAGTTCATTATCTTTTTCACAGTTTCAGTCCAAGAAGTAAAGACAAGTATATCAGGTAAGCAATCTTGCACGCTTTTGAGTGAATTCTTAAACGCCTGATTCTGGATTTTATTATGAGAAGCATGTCTATTTAAACTATGCAACAAATTATATTTATCTTATCAACGACTGACAAATGCAAAAAAATATATAAAATAAATTTGTTGTTAAATTTTCCAAAACGTTAACAAGTAACGTTACAAGTTGACTCGTGTCACCGTACGTACACGCTTCTATATTGCGACCATTCTTGTTACGTTTTGAATCATACTAGGTTACTTACGATTATGAAGCCTGTATTAAGTACACGACAAACTATAACTGACTTGTGTGAAGCCCGTCAAAATCGGGCCCTTTTGATTTGTATATTAATTATCCTGCATTAATTATTTTTTATCCTGTTTGTGAACAGTTTCCTGTTGCGTCGAAGCGAGGCACATTGAAGGAGAAGTATTTACAGCGACTTGCCCTCCCGGATGTGACGAATTTTCTCATAGATTGTGGGGATCAGGTGTTTATACTGAAGATTCAAGTTTCTGCGCAGCTGCTATACACGATGGAATCATATCAGGTAGGATTCTAAAAGTTTTCTGTCGTTTTATTCAAGAATACACACAGTTAAGAGTTGTAGTTGAAATTTCAGAATGGAAAAAAGTTGCCGTCAACAAAGTTTTGTACGCTTACTTTTGTTATTTGAATTCGCTATTTTGTAGTCTGAGCCAAAATTTTTGTCGAACTATTTTTATTCATTGACAGAAAGCCATAAAGAACTACGGTGTCTAAATTGAATTGAAAATACAGTCATAGATCCTAATTTTGGAAGAGTCAGAATTTCACAATCTACGTTTGAATCTTTCAAAAATCGGGAGGATATTTTATTATTTATTTGCTTCATTTTATGCAGCTGATCGCGGCGGAGCAGTCACAGTTCGAAAAATCGAAGGGAAATCTTCATATCAAGGAGCAACTCGTAATGGACTTGAGTCAAAGCCGCATGATAAAGCAAAAACATCCTTCATATTCCAAAGTAGGTTGTCTTGTCACTGATTGTTTACTTGACTGATCATGGAAGAAGATAATTTAATCTATGCACATTTATATTACAGATGCAGGAAAAGCAAGACGACCTGTTTATGAAGGTAAGCGGAGGATTTTATTATAGTTGCGAAATTGGTTTTTGTTCAGGCCTATAATAAATACATGTAATTATTGATACGATTACAATTGTGATTAGTGCATTTATATATAAAAATGAATATATATATGTGTACCATGTATATTTAGCGTAAATAGTAATGTGAGTATCTGGCAGTACCAAAGCGTGTTGTTTATCGCCACATTATAGGGAAATTGACTTGTAGGTTGGTCGTATAATAACTTTATGAAGAAATCTTATACTATCTCCCTGTACTTGCGAGTTGAGGTGTTTGCCTTTGCTTATTTTGTGGAATTGAACTTTATTTGAAAATTTGTCCACACCCCAATCATTACTGTTTTGTACTTGGATGACTTCAAATATCTAAACAACTATCCATCTCAGCTTTGCCAGACATGTTCGCAACCCACTGTGCCATAACTAATATAAATAGAATTATAATTTTGGTAATTTTCACAGTTTCCTGTATCGTGCAAGCAAGCTGGATAAAAGAAACGGATTTCAATGTAATATGTCCAGGAGGATGTGGTGTGGTTACAGATAGATTATGGGGAGATATGATGTACACTGATGATTCTTATTTATGTGCTGCCGCTATTCATGGTGGAATGATTAAAGGTAACGGAAAATTTTAGGACGAATAAAAGTAGAAATGGATAATGTGCATTAGGTACCAAGTTTAAAGTCCGTGTTTAAATAAATATTGAGGTTGCTCTCGAATTATTTAATATTTCGATAAATGGATCGATAGTTTCTAATTAAGCTGTATTGTTATAAACTTCACAGGTTGAAAGACATTTATTTGGGATCTATGAATTGGTCCGCTATATTAATATTTCCCAATTTCTGTTGAATCAAAATTATTAATTTACATATCATTTTTATTTTCGAATTTCTAGTTTATCATTTTTTATCAATATTAAAACAATAATTTCGGCGCTCCAGGAGTATGTGTACCAATATGGAGGTAACTAATTTTGTTCGCCCACTTTACATCAAGTTGTGTAAAAGGACGGAAGCCTATGGGCAGGGGGTATATCACGTGGCTAACAAGACAGTCCCCGAACTCGTAATAGAGATAAATAAGGAAACAACAATAACAATAAGGCCTAACCCTAATCTGGTACACACACTACGGGAGTACCATAATTTCAATCTACCTAAAAATATCGAAAATTTTGTTATTTTTGTCACGTCGATTCTATATCGGTAATGACAAACTTCCATACCAATTTTCTAACAAATAATTCAAGCGCTTGAGCATTAGGTTGAACTCGGATAGTAATTACCAAGAAGTGAAAGTTCTAACCTCGCATTAAATCGATCTAATTTGAACGTTTGGGTAGATATTTCGGGATTTCAAAGTAATTTTATACAAAGCTCAAACTGCAATTTTAAAAGAATCGGAAACACGATCAAGAACTTTAATTGTTATTCAAAACCCGAGGGTCAAATTAGTGCAATGTCATTCACGCAGTCGTTATAATAAGAACATAACCTGTAAACATTTCAAATTCCTACGCGGATAATATACGTGAAGTTGACTAAATTAAAAAAAACTCGAAGGAAACTGCGTGGAGATTGCTTGAGGTGTTTTTCATTCATTCTAGATATTTGCGTTTATTTTGCCTATAAACATGAGCTATTAAATTTCTTTTTGTACGACTTATTTTTACGACTGCGAACAAGGCTCTGCACAAGGAGTTACTATAATTTGAAAGGACCAGAATCTTCACCACCTGCTTAGTTTATTACACCCTGGATGAGGTAGCTGGCATGGGATTTGAACCCAAGATTCGAACTTGCCTTACCATCATAGTGAATTGACACGAATGCATTAACCATTGGACTACCGCCCAATATATTCACATTTAAACACGATCGGGGAATACGTGTTGGTGATCATTTTGTATTAGTAAATCGTGATGAAAATATTAATTCCATAACATATCGTGTATACAATATGTCACTACTGAATTTTTGGTTGAACCTGAGCGGGGAAAAGATTGTACAATATTTCGAAATTAAATCTCACCTTTGATGTAATCATACCTAAATTGAGCATCAAATATATGTTTGTTGCAGTTCACAGCCTTGTTTCGAGAGAATGTGACAACATGATCTGTTAAGTAAAATGAAATATATTCGTTCAAATTGTGAAAATTTTTCATTAAATTAAGATTCCATCGGAGGAGAAGTTCATGTGATCAAAGCTGGAGTGCAGAACGGTTTCAAAGGCAAGAAGAGAAACGGAGTTATTAGTTCGGGATATAGCGGTGGAAAAGAATCATTTGAGCTAGAAAGTGAGGAATATTGTTTTTATTTTTCCTTTTTTCACTAAAAATATTTGAAGGAATATGATGTGAATGCAATTTCATTACAATATCTGCATTATATTTTTAATTATGTACATGCGTTATTGCATTGTTAGGTCTTACAATTTCATGACAACATATTTTAAATATGCTATTTTATAAGTATACTATATGGTATTACAACATCTCAAAGTAATGAAAATTTTATACGTTAGGAACACAAAAAATCCCCGTTAGATCTCCCAAAAAATGTGGATTTTATAGAAAATACAGCAATTTTTGTAAATGTTGGTGTCGATATCTGAAAGAAAATCAACAATATTTATCAAACGAATCAAAACCAAGCTGAAATTCAAATTTAGCTATTTCTTCCATTTTTGAGGCAAATCGTGTAAATTGAATACATCAAGAATTATTCAGTATACAACTTGATCTGACATTAGTAAAATTTCGCCCGAAGGTATTTTGTTGATTGTAATCTATTTTATTAAAGAAATTTATTTTGTTAAAAATAAAAGGTCATCGAAAATAACTGGTATTTTCCATGAGTCAGCGATGTACGACGCATTTAGTCACCAACACAGTAATGATTATCGTAGAAGCATTTATGCTATAAAACTATATAAAATGACGCTAAACCTTTTATAGTACCGGTAAATAACAAAAGAATCATTCACCAATTCCAAATAAAAGTTGTGCCAACCGGATCAAAATATATCGACTTAGGTGACTTGACTTGTTAAATTATTTCATTTTTGTTATATTTCAGAAACAAGCGAGAAATCTTCATCTATACTCGAAGGTAGATAATTTATATTTTTTAATTATATGTGCTTGTAAAAACTGTAGGATTGATTTCGGTTCAGAACACTCTTATTCATATGATTTGTTCAGCATCAGTATGATACGATTAGATATCCGGCAAGATTTTTGATAGATATTTGAACGCAAATACTTTTTCTATCCTTTGTAGTCCTGGTATGATTATACAGGCAAGTCCCAGTTATTGATTCGAATGTATAAAGTGGGTACAAAAGTTTAAATTATCCATTTAGTCAAATACGAAATATCTATTGCCACGTCTTGACGACTACGTCATGTGCAAAGGCGAAGAAAATGTTTGTTTACAGATCTTCCTTGAACCGACCTGAAAATTCTGGCTCGACAATCATTTAACTTTTAATGACATTTTCTTATATATGTTACCTTTTCAGTGTCTTGCTACTTCCGTGTTGATCATGTAGAAGAAGAAGTTTTTACTGCAAGATGTCCCCCTGGATGTGATACGGTGTCGGATCAACTTTATGGAACTGGGATTTACACTCAAGATTCGTTCCTGTGCGCAAGTGCTATTCATGCAGGAAGAATACCTGGTAAGGAACTTTGATGATATCCATGTTCTAAATTAATTATCCATATACGTACATACATCATTATTATCCTCGTTTATAGACATATTTTTTAAGTAAATGTTCTTTGATTTAAAAAAAAAATATTGTGTAAGTCAGGGAAACACGTCGTATGAATACTGTCATGTATAAACTATGATGATCAATAGATCAATCAAATATTTAGTAAGTGAAGTGACAAATTTCAACTATTTTTTTTACAAATTTTTGTAATAAGAAGAAGTGACATTCGTTTGCCACTTTAAGCTCAATTTGAATTTGATTACAAGTTCTCAAAAAACGACGTAAACGACCTTTTAAATTGATTTGTACAAAAATAGAAAATTTTATTTCAATGATGACAAATTGCATTGGCTTGGAAATAACTTGAGAATTGGCAGTTCAAGCAATAAATTAGAATATCAAACGAAACTGATAAGTAATTTCAAGTCATTGTAATATAAAAGAGTTACGGTTAGCAAATTTGGACTGAATCTAGTGAGAGAATTTTTTCGACTCGCAATAGGTTATTTATATGCCCTGATTAACTATATAACTATACTGTTTGCTGGGCTTCTCTGATATAAGTTCGGACATATATAATGAATGTGATTTCAAAACAACTTGTGAAATAATCATAAAAATTCTTTTCAAATTGTTCACACTTTTGTCGTTTTAAAAACAGGAAATACCAAGACAAGGGTAAAAAAAGTAAATTAGGATGAATAATTACATTTCATAAAAATATGCCATATGTAATTTACTTAATTGCGATGTTTTAATAATATACTTTATGTAAGAGAGAATGTGTCTAATTTAGCTATGATTATTTTTGCGCAAACGGACTGTGATCAGCCGTTCTCAAATTAAAATCGATTTAAAAAATCCGAATATGAGACGGTATATTCCCGTTCCGTCCAAAATGTAGAAGGGTTCGGCGGAAGTCGCAATACAGCAAACTATTATTGGTCAGGGTACATAAAACGAGTCTTCAGAGCATGTCGCACTACTGAATATACTTATTTTTCGCCAGGCACTTTTTGCATAGAATACAAGCCCGTTGGTTATATTGCATTGGAAATTCCAAAGGGCTGCAACAATTATATTTGGTGGACAATGTTGTCTGGACAAAATAACCAGATAGAATTCAAAGGATACTCGATATTAAATTAGGTTTTGGCTTTATATGTACAAGTACAAAAATTGCGCAGACGTGCCATACTTTCGTGTTACCTTGACAATTCGATGTTGAACTGGGAATCGATCAAGATAAGTTTTTTTGTTGCCAGCTGCATTTTATTTTAAGAATACACACCTACAATTAAATACTTAACACTGTCTTTAGTATTTTTTTATTTTAGGTTTGTCTGAGTTGATGCCAGTACTTGATAATGCCGACAATGCTGGACTAAAAACAGTTTCGGGTGTACAATATGACACTAAAAATACTTTTGTTCTTTTTTAGCACCACTTGGCGGAGTGGTAACCGTGTTCAAAACATCTGGCAACATCAATTTTGTTGGAAGTCTTCAAAATAGCATCGGTTCTAAAGACAGTGAATATTTGAATACGTCATTCATTTTCCAAGGTTAGAATACAACTATTTTGGTCGATGTACCAAGTTTCTTTGAAGCAATACCTTCAATTTCTAACATCTTTGGCAAAATCGAATAGAAGTGTGTTTTGAAGGCTTCGCCATGGTTAAGATGAGCTTACCGTATGTTCAGTCGGAGGTAATTATACCTGCCTTTAGAGATTTTAACAAAGTAATTCAAAATATTTATACTTGTTATCTTTACTCTTGCTACAACATCCTTGCATTATAAGCAAGTGGATCCAGCTGAGAAACTGGTCCCATAGTAACCTAATCGATAGTACATAATATATTATCCTTGCACATATTAATTGAAGAAAATCATAAAATATTTTTTTGTTTGTTTTTGTTTGGCAGCTTCGACAATCAAACAACCCGAAATCGTTACAGGTAAATCTTGTTTTTCAAATTTTGCCTTTTATTTAACGTTTTTTCTATATCTTTCAATAAAAAGATCGTCTTTTGTCGAGCTTAAAGTCACAATTTTGCTTGTTTTCCAATCGTTTAGTTGCATGCCAACTTCGGGGCGATCACTTGCGTGATGATGTTTCCACCGTTGTTTGTCCTGGTGACTGTGATTTCGAAACTTACGATGTTTGGGGATCAGAAACATACAAATCTGATTCTCATATCTGTGCTTCTGCTGCTCACGCTGGAATTATCGATGGTAAGAGGTTGATATTGTAACGGTGTTTGACTGTTCTATATTGCCATGAATTGATGTAATCAATGATCATATTTGTGAATGAACAACGTTTCACTATGGTCACATTCTAACTTTCACAGCAATTTTTAACGTACATGTTAGCACGATCGATCTAATTTTAAAAACAAAAACATCAAGTCATCGAACACATCACACCTACAAATAAAACTTTTTCAAGCAATTAATTGTTAATTGTAGCTATATTTAAATTAATGAGAGCCAAAGATCAGGTCAAGTGCATAACCTTTATATACACGGCCGTGTAATTGTTTGTGCGCAACGTCATAAATGAAAAAAAAAAATGTGAACACGATGTTCACTGCACAGAATACAGCAATTTATGTGGTCCCAACTATTTTTTTTTATATTCATCCCTAAGCTTATTTTGAAAGTTATTATTGGCACTTGTATGTACAACTCTGTTTCCTGAGTTAATTTTTTATTTTATTTCTAATGGACTATTGAATAGTACATTAGGTGTGAGTGCTTTCTAGCTCTATGGCTTTAGTACAGTTTAAATTCAATGAATTATGTCCTATTACTGTATTAGTAATGTCAGCTGACAAGCAAATTTTAAATTCTATCCATTTGACGTTGGTACGGTGTTGTCAGTTCAGAGATTAACATTTACAATTCCAAATTCTTCAGACGATTTTAAAGGACGTTCATTATTTCACTTTGTATAAACCACCGATGAGGTCAGAGTGTACTTCATTAATATTAAAAGACGTAAACGAAGACGTTAATCCGTATTAGATCAACTGTTTCATAGATTCCTTTTGTTTCAAACATAAACGCTAACAGACAGGTTAAAACGCCCTGAGCTATAGATTTAATTGTGAGCATGAATACCGTCAGTGATTCATCGCCACAACGACATTCTCATGCAATTAATGTTTTGTAAAAAGTCAATAACTTTCGCTTGAAAGAAAGTTTCAGTCAAGGCAATATCAATTAGAAATTTTTGTTCTTCAATGTGCCAAAGATGGGCTAGTGAAAAAGTGCTCCGGTGAGGCGCGTTTCATCTTTGGTTTATACTTGACAACTTATAATTTCTAACTTCTGAAAAATCAAACTAACGCAGCATTTCCCTGACTTTGCAATCTGTATTCAGATTGTCGTTTTAGATTAAAACTTTAATTTGATTTCTTCTTAACTTTAATCATAGAAAATTGTTTTGTTTAACTAATATGAATCATATATGACACATATACTCTAACCTGGTGACATGACTTTCATGTTATAGCTTTGACATTTTAAGATGTTATTCATTTTTAATAAAAGCTTATTTATTTGGGTTCAAGTGACTTTTGGAAACTTTATCATTGTCTTTTTTAAGTATTTTGATAAACAACCAAAAAAGTCATGACGTCATTTGTATATAGGAAAGAGCAGTAAAATTGTTTAAATGTCACGGTAATTTAAATTAGGCTTTGTAATTCAGCATTTCGGTTTCAGATTTATTAAAAAATTATTAATATATATATGAAAAACGCTGATTTATGACATTTTAACCGCAATCTATTGGTGATAAAATGAACTGAAATAAACTGAACCGCCAAACCCAAGTAAATAGCTAAATACCAAGCACACGGTGTTTTGCTCAATCCACATGGCTCCGAAACGCTCCAGCGCAATCTTAAATTATATTAAAATACCTTAGCTTGGATTTTTGAATTAGTGATGTCGTGGTAAGCAACGCTTTCATGTCTCGTGGTTGATTATTCATGGCTTTAAAAACTTCGTCTGAAAGCTCCAGGCTAAAATAAATTTTATGAGAAAAACAAAATTTATTACGGTCTTATACAATGTTATAAAATGTTCAATATTTTACTTTTTGTAATTATATAATATAAAAGTAAATACAGCATTTTATGGTTTAATTTTTATTCATTTTTTTATTATTTTGGGGGATAAAATAATAATTTAAAGAGAAATTGATAAAATAGATTTAGTAAATAATTTGAAACATTTTTCAAATTTTGACTAAGAATCATCGAATTTAACATTTGATTAAACTAGGAATAAGGGAATATTGTTTGTATGTTCTGGACTACCAGAAATACAGATGGATATACAGTCTCAATCGTCATTTTATGACCGATTCTATTCAGATAACCTTGCATTGTCCATGTGAATCAATTGTGTTGTTATTGCGTCAATATTAAAACATATCTCTCACTACAAATTTTCTGTAAGAAAACGGTTTATTAAATTGTAATTTTGGGTAAAATATTTCAAATTTACTATAAATAAATTTCTGTAATCTGTTTCAGTTTCTCTTGGAGGACCAGTGACTGTGAAGCGAGTATCGGGAATGAAGGCTTACGAAGGAAATACAAAGCAAAGAATTATAAGTAAACCGTTTGCCGAATCTTCCACTGCTTTCACTTTTGCTGGTAAGTGTATGTGGTTCTAATTAAGATACATATTTTTTATAGAAATTTGATAATAACTCAACTTATTATTTGTTTCAGATAACATAGAAAAGGTTGGATCAATACTGGCGGGTAAGATATTGAAGTTTCATTACATTTTACGTCGAATGTAGTGAGTTTTAGTCCATTTGATAATAGAACTGTATCGTTAAACTAATGTTTTGTTTCGCATTAACTGAGATTTTAGCAGCAATTGTCAAGTATTACTTTCCAAATTTTCAGTTCGACGTAGCTTATACGATCTTTATCATCAATATCGTGATCATGTGGTAGGTCTGCGATCGAAATAAAGTTCTCTATATATGATTTAATATATATACTCTATAGACTATAATATATAATCATTATACCAGGCCACAGGCCCTAGATTTCATTAAATTTTATATTCATTTGTTTATATTAAATCAAACATTATTCATCAAGCCACTTGTGATTTCACTGCCGATCTCATCAGTGATGATTTGTTTTCTCTCAAATGTCCTGCTGGATGTTCTGGTGGATCATCAAAGGTATGGGGAGATGGAGTGTACACCAGTGATTCTCCGTTATGTGCAGCTGCAATTCATAACGGTTATCTCAAAGGTATAAATTTATGATTTTCTATTCCATACCTGATGCTATATTTATATCCGTTCCGAGTCTTAGATTTGGATATGATGAAAAATTGACAGTTTTTGATATCTAATTGTAGAATCTCTCGGAGGCATAATCACAGTTCATAAAGTACAAGCAAAGGCAACTTACAGCGCTGCGAATCGTAACGGAATACAATCATTTGAATATGGCAAGTGGTCAAGCGCGTCAGTCATCTTCCAAAGTAAGTTTATTTTTCGCTCTTGATCAGCAAAATAGAACGCTAAAATAGAACCTTGCCTAAATATTTTTACTTACTTTCAGGACCATGCGTTGAAGTTGAGCCTATGTATCCATGTAAGTAGTTGAGTACATATATATAACTGACTACAAACTAAGATCCATGGTATTGTATTGCGTGAGCCGTGCTATTTATAAAAAACGAACAAGTAAATTCAGGGTTGATGTTCTAATTTTACCTTCAGTCATTGACAACGATATATAGTCGAGAGCCCAAAGAAAAAAAAAAAAAAAAACAACGACTAATACTTCGGTATCAGAATCTGGAATTCGATAATTTTTAAACCTTGACTGTGGCTCTAATAACAGAAAATACGATACTGTGGTCCGAGCCCTAGTTACTCTAGTCGAGTGAATGTACAATTTGGCAAACATAATTACATAAACGTGCTCAAATTAGAGAGAGGAGCCTCGCAATATTATATAAAACATATAGTTATACAAAACATGTCGTGACACCAACTATTTTTGAGAAAACTGGAAAATTTTACAGCAAGTTCGTTGTACCCACTGTCGGTCTTGAATCCATATAACTTCTTGTTTTTTATACTAATATTGATGATAAAAAATACTAACAGTAACATGCGAAACAAGAGCAAATTTCATGGTGGATGATGCTTTCACGGTCGTCTGTCCTGCTGGGTGTGATATGAATATTGACAATAATGAAGTATGGGGAACAGGAGTCTATACTGATGATTCTTACATATGTGGTGCAGCTATTCATGACGGAAGATTGAACGGTAAATACTATAGGATTTTGTTATATATATAGGAGTTACGACTCATAACGTGTCAAACCAAACAAATTCTTAGCCTACCTTCCATCAACAATAAAGCATCAATGACAAATTATTATGCCTGTAAAATGTAATCTTTGGTAAGACGGCATCACCAAAACGATAATTCGGAGATGAAAATATATTTTATTAAATAACGCGGTAAGTCGTGCATCAGATTACTAAATATACAAAAAGGTACGACGATACGACTGTATACCATACGGAAGCAACGCCCAAAACCACTGATGAAGTCAGTAATCCGATTTATAGGAATGAAATATCATTCCTGCTTAAATGGCAAAATTTGATTTCAGTTTAATTAACTTATAGACTTTAAACTCATTTCATCCGTAGCACTTTCCTAGTTTTGGTTTTTGTTAAATTTCAGTTGGTATGTTATTGGTATTGAGTGATGTTTGAACTACACCACACAAATAACAAATTAATGTCCATCAATCATCGTCTTCCACCGGAAATTCATGAAGCAGGCCATCACATAATTAATTTCAAATTTAACATTCTATTTTCTTATTTTCAATGCCAGCTGACGTAGGAGGGCAAATTATGGTTGGAAAGATTCCAGGAATGTCAACTTATGCTGGAAGTACACAAAATACAATTGAGAGCAAGTCCAAAGGAAAATGGAGAAAATCAATTACATTCGAAGGTAAGATAGTCAGTCGCAAAACAATAGAAATTCCAAATCTTGACTAATGGGATTATTTTTAAGCAAAGTTTTCATTTGAATAATATATAACTATATGGTTTGTAATATCAGCAAGCCTATTTCAAGGCGGCAATTTAATTCAAAAGTAGGCTGGTTTTAATTCACACAAGTCTGTTCTATTGTGTTTTGCATTCGAGATTTTCGATCGATCCGATATTGCATTTATTTGGGTGAGGGAAATTATCGAAGTTATATCTGTTGGGCATATATATACATTAAATGACTTTTGTAGAGTTGGCCGGCCGCTAAGACGATCTTGTTGCCTCTGTTTGCATAAATGTAGATATCGTTTTTGCATTTATGTGTCCAAACTGAACTTCTATTGTTAGATTGTATAAGACCTTCACATCAAATTGCCGATATTACGGCATTCAACATGCTTTGCTGCAACGTTATAAAAGTTTCAAATTCGTGACAATATGTTGCAGTAAATAGAATTCAACCGAAAAAATCTATCAATGAATTAAGTGCAAAAGTACTTTCGGTTACGTCATCACTTACACGAAGCGTGTCAACCCGGCACAAGAATACATCAATCATTCGCCCGTTATATAGATATTTGAATAATAATATGATATATAGCTATTGTTCTTTTACAAAATATCTTTTGGATTTTTTAAATTTTAGAGGTTGCCGAAATATAGCCCAAAGGTTTTTATCAAGACAGAAACTTGCTAACCATTTTGTGGAAATATATCGCAAAATGGACATATATAATAGTTGCCTGTAAACATCCCAATCTGCATTAATTAGCCTTGGACTGTTTGTTATTTTCTATCTATTTACCCAGCGGAGTTGCAATAATGTCGTGTCCCAATCAACAGTGTACGCGGATATGTGTCAATTTTCGGACCTCCTGAAGTATTCGCACCAAGATGGCGCACAACCTGTTTTCTCTGAATGTTTCAGATGCCGTTCTCCAGCACACATCAACCTTTACAATCACATGTGATGTGGAAGCAAATATGATAATGGATGAAGAATATTCCGTTATTTGTCCCCCTGGCTGTGAGGAAGAAACTGAACGAGTGTGGGGAAACGACATTTATACCGAAGATTCGTTCATTTGTGCTGCGGCAATTCACGCCGGAAAAATAAATGGTTAGTCCATGATGAAAGATGCAATTCACAAGCTGTTAATGTATTTATGCTTCGGAATAAACGTTTACTTCCTACATGTTGAACTCTATACAGGAGTCGGAGTTTGGCATGTTTATATGTAAACTCCTCGGATTCAAAATTCCCCGGAGTCGGATATGGTGATGATAGGAGTTGCAAGTTTGAATAGAAAATAAAGTTTTCGGGTTCGGGAGTCAAATTGTTTTTCAAACCGGAGCCGGGAGCCAATTGCACAACCCAGGCGTTCGAGCTACGCCTAGAAGTTTCTCGCATCGTTATTTGAGGCCAACGTGTGTTCAAAATTCATGCGCTACTATAGAAACTAGAAAATCGAAATAAAATAGGAATCTGATGATAATGAACTTTAGCCCTTGGTCGTTAATTATGAGAGAAAATCCTACTATACTATTAAAATTTCATTTTTTTAAAAACAACACGATTCTTATATTACATAGGGTGACACCATAAAAACAGAATCTATTTGGAACATGTTCTAGTGAGAACGTAACTTTCGTCGCGCGAAGCGTTCTAGATCATTGAAACTTCCTGGTACAATGATACACAAACAAAGTTCGAGTCTGAAATAAGTTTTCCCTATTATAGTAGAAGCAATAAAGAAATCCATGGGTTCGATTTGTTGAGCCACCCTGTTATAAAAGATTTATATTTGCTTTACAAATGCACATGAACTCAAATCAGTGATGAACTAAAACTAGGGAATTTTCATATATACGTGAACTTGTCAAAACTATTGTCTAACGCCCATTCCATTTTTCAATGTTTTTAGTAGCAGAGGGAGGAAGAGTGTCAGTCGTTACAACAGAAGCTAAAAATTTCGAGAGCACGACGAGAAACGGAATCCAGAGTAAACCATACGACAAGGAAGCAAAAGCATGGAAATTCGTTTGAGTTACTGAAGATACAATTCATTCATAACCCCTTTTTCATCATAATTTCCGTTCCATAAGTTAGCTTATTTTGATTGTAACATAGTGATATCGCTCCAGACACTGCTTTTTCTCAATAAATACAAACGGTTAGAAATGGAGTCATCTAAACATGGAATTGGAAACAATTGGTGGTTTATATGGTTGGGACTCGACAACCTAATAACGACAACGCTACCGGACACAAATGTGTGATCATGAACCGTTTTGTTATGGTGTCTCCTAGAAAACTATTGTTTTTATTGCCATTTGACGCCTCGATTTACCCTGTTATTGTGTAAGTGACTAGCTCTCAGATAAAGAAGTCAATATTCTACAATATAGTTTGCTTGAAACTATATGCAGCCATTTTTTCAGTTAAATATTGCTTTATTTCATTTTTTTCATAATTTGAGCTGTTCGGATGAATAAATGCTGTCAAAAAATAATTACTTTGTGTTCATTCCTTCATTGCAAAGGTTTCACTTTACTTACGCAATCAAATCTAAACTGAACTGAAGTTTTTATTTCCAGCTTAGCACCAGTGATAATGTTTCGTTTATCGCATTGGTCCGGCAATGTTCCCCATGCGGTATATCTACCATTGAGGTATAATAGAAGTAGATATAGAGTAATGTTAGGCTATAGAAGCGGATTATTTAAATTTGAAGATGAAGCATCAAAGCTAGGTGGGAGCTTGTACCACTGAGACGCTCATGGCTTTCCGCTGGTATGGCTTTTTATTAAATCGGACGAGGACGGTTATAAGATTCATCATACTTCAAATCTTTGACTGGTTTGAAATTGGAACATTTAGATGACAAGAAAAGGCACAAACAATAAATCGATTTCGTAGAATAGAATCAACAACAGGTGACTCCGATCAAGCAAGTGGTCACAGATTCTCCGCAAAATCTTCATCGCGTCCGTGTTTCCTTACTCTTCCAATGATGACAAATTTGTGAATAATTTATTGGCTATCTTCAATCAGTACAATCCGATTTTGGTATGATTTGATTTACACGATGGTATAATATAATCTTTAAGTAATGCCATCAGTGAGTTTCGAATCTGTAAAAAAAATGATTTGATAACTTGACTTTTGCTCGCTGAAAAAGCAGTTAACTTGTGACACCAAGAAAACATGAGGATTGCAAGATCTTTGAGCCACAGTTAAATACGCGCTAAACGCACCTTCAATCACATGAGGAACTCAAAATTCTCAGTGGATAATATTTTAAAAGATGATTCAATGAAATGACTGAATGGAATAAGGGTGAACCCCTAAAACAGAACCCATAAACTACCCAACTACTGCTAAGAAAACGAAGAAAATTTATTTAACACGTGACCACTAGAAAATTGAAAACGGGGGGGGGAATAGATTTTTAAATATTATACCCACCTTAGTTATATATATATATATATAATAATACTTACATCAACTATATCGAACATACGTTTCAACTTCACATCGCGCCAATTCCAGTCCAACATAACAAGTTTCAAACAATCCAAACTTAATGATCCTAAAAGAAGGAAAATTTTGATTCTTCAATCCAGGATTGAAACAAAATACCAAACGCAAGGAAAACTGAAATTACCAGTTACGCGTAAAATCAAACTGGCGAAACATTAACGAGAAAAAACTGTTTACAGTTCCCAAACCAAGCAGCAATAAGTTGGCTTGGAGAATTCCTTTCCCGAACAGAGTATTAGTAATTATGCGCTATAATGCGGAGTCAGGGAAAACCTACAATCAACTCCGGGTTGACTCCGATTATGATAATAAAAACATTGGCGTATGCCAGCTTTCCTTAATGGACAGCTAAAAAAGATTAGTGAACTTTATGCTTTTTGAGTCTCCGAAGAAAATTCCGACTTTTAATATTACCACTGAATGTATGGAATTCAGTCTCTGACGAATTCATTATTTCGAATCACACTCCTGGACGTTCAAAAAATTCAACTCCAGTGAAAAAACATGCCAAACCCTGGACTCCACAGCTGTAAATTTACATACACTTAGATACAATGTGCCATCACTGACGTCATTACGATTAGGATAAAGCAAACTAGAAGGAAGAAGATATAAATGATAAATAAGCTCAAAATTATATATAAGGAAAATCTCATCTGAGGGTATACATAGAAGAGTCAACATGGAAAGTGTTTTAGGTTTATCAACAATCGCGGAAATGTGAAAACATTTTCTACTGAATTCATACAATGTAGTTGGGCAGTTATTTTCATACCCATCTGAAATCACAACTTAATTAAAACATGGCGATTGCGTCAAAACGTCAAAGTATCGTAAAAATCGATTGCTAAGCTCTTAACCATAGCAACAAAACTTCTTTTATGGGCTGCAGACTAAATGTATTCTAAACTCAAAAAGTAGAATTGTCGCTCAAAACTGAGACACAGTGTACAAAATTGGATTAAGTAATCGGAAACGGAATCTGCCTTCCATAGGACAGCATAGAGTTGTAAGCGCGAACGCCCAAACGCCGATGGCTACAAAATCCAACAGATATATATAGATCGATCGCCCATGAATCCAAGCCTTCATTCCAGAGAAGCCAATCGGAAGCAATGATTGTGCTTCTGATATGCAAGAAGGAGTCAAACTAAGCTTCGTGTTTCGCGATCCACATGCAACATAAATTAGAGGCGTCTCAGCGCCACGCTTCGACTCGTACGAATATCACATCATATATTTACTTCCAACCATTTGCCTGTCTATCCTACCTAGAACATGAATACCACTTCATATGCATTCTGCATTCGTCTGTTCCAAGTTCTATGTCGACTTCAACTCGGAACAACGGTGCAGCAAGAAAAATGCGGTACAAGTGGCACAAGTGTGGAACACGGTATTTTTAAAACAAATTTGTTGACAAAAATACTCGCAACAATTGGTTTTGAAACTTTTTTTATATGATAAATACTGGTTAAAAGTGATAAAACATATTAAAAGAAAGAGGTGCAAATAAAAAGGGAACAATAGGAAAATATTAGGTAGAATATTGAAGCGACAACGCCACTCTTATTCCACTAAGAAATTTCAAAAATAACTCATGTAAGCGTAACGTAAAATTAATTCGACCAAATTTATGATACAATAAAAGCAAACCAAGATAGTACTGAGTGATAAAATGGAAATTAGAGCGCGATGACCCCATGGCCACCATGTTTGATCGAACCGAACCGAAAAACAGATAAACCATGCCAAACGGAATAGATCACGCTCATTTCTAGAAAAGCAGAGTAGTTATACAAGTATCAGTGGTTTCTTGTCCAACGCCTTGTTTGGAGTGAACGTCCCCACAAAAATGCATTATATCTGCATATTGTGCGCTAGACATTTTGATAGTAAATTTACTTCAATATTCCAGTTATCTGTGTAGGTTTAAAACAGTGCATAAAAAGAATAAGAGACAACAATATCAATAAAGGCGGTAATAAGTGTAGTTTAACGAAAATTCAAATCCAAATTTTTATTTCGTCAACTTTTTTACACGAAGATCAGGCGTATTCGTTCATCATCTCCATGTTAGGTAATGCAAACCAGCAGGAGAATCATTCAAGAATATCTCCATGAATCTCATTGAAATCTACAGAAAATTAAACCGCCATGCGTCGTGTTATATGCATGCTATCCACACTGTCCTCTATTCCACTGTCCAGTCCGTTTCCACTGATTGATCGGATTGACAACGCTTTGGTTTTTGGCAAAGGCGGTGGGATAATAGGCGGGGTAATGACCTAAATGAAGTAAGAACGTTTACGATAAAGAATGTTTTTATGGGTTAAAAATACAACATTACACTTTTTGTAAATTTATCGCAGTAAACAACGATGCACACTACAATATCATTACATCATGATGGCGTTTGAGATTACTTTTGACCGTCTTCGGTTTGCATAAATTTTGATTACGACAAAATTTTTATTCTGAACGACAAAATGCTTCAAATTAAAAGTATAGAATCCACGAAAAGTGTAATAAATTGAACAACCAATTTATTGAATCAACGAGATTTCGGTATAAAATGCAAGTGCTTATTTAAAGCGCTGTTGGAAGAGTAAAAAGCTCATAAAAACCAGATGTCACTTCTTTTTTTCTAAAACGCGATTCTTTTATTCTCAGGTAGAAAGTAATAAAGCAACAGAAATATAACATACCTTTGGGTCTTTTATTGGATACGGATGAGGAATTTTTCCAGGTTTTATTTTCACCTTCCTCACTCTTGGTATCGTCGTACCGGGCCCAGGTAAGTTGGAGCGCGAGGGTCGAGGTAATTTAGACGGGGGTCGCCAAAATCCTTGAAAAAGAACGGAAAAAAATTAGTTACAAAGTCAACATAAGTGACGACAAAGATTTGAAAACCATAATATTGTGGCGACAACAACAAGATAATAAAAGTTGTACAAGCACTCTCTCCTAGAGCGATTGGCTGTGATATAAGCTGTTGGCAATCTAGATCAAAGATGAAGCATATGTGTTGCCTTGCTGTCATGATACTGTGAGTAGATCAGCATCAGTAGTAAATGCATGTGATATTAGCAGGTTCAGAATCGAACCTCTCTGGAACGACTAGCGGGTAATATACACAACATTGTCTAGCGGGTAATACAAGAGGCCGTTGGTCGATCATATAACTAATCCATCGTGTGGACTTTCCTATCTCTTAGAATAAATATGACAAAACATTTGGCCATAATATTGCTAAATCTTTAACAAAATTGATCATGCACATGCATATTCAAACCATGCGATCTCATTACTACCTAAATTTTGATTTACTTTTCAATACTTTATGTCAAATTCAACAGGAGATTTTTTTGTTTGAAAGAATAATTCAAACTCTGCCATTGCCAAATAAAATATTCGAGTCAGAGACGGGGTCTCATTTTCAATTTACCAGAGTCGAAACAGGAGTCGTTTTCGGGGCCCGATTTATTTCCCACCCCCACCGAATACGTTAATACACATATGGAACAGCGTCACAATAACAAACCACACTCACGTGCTTACCCCTGTGCCATTTCAATTTAAATATACAGAAGATGAGAGCGATGATGAGCGCAACCAACAACAAACAACCAGCGACTGCTATTCCAATTTGTGCTCCCAATCCGAAAGGTAAACCCCAACCAGAACCTTGCTTCAGAGATATGGTTGTTGTGTTATCTGCAATGGAAAAAAACGAACATTATTATTGAGTGATGTTAGAATACAATGAACAATTGGAATCAAATAAGATATAACTATTAAAAACATATAGTTTGAACGAAATTTGGGCAGTTTGAAGCGAATTTCGAATTCAAATAATTTTGCGTCCAGTACTATAACGAGACGCGTTCTAAAACTTAGTAATTTTGTGATGAGTTTGGGTCCGTTTCTGTATTTTATCTCGTATGATCATACCAATAATTACTAGTCCACAAATAATCACAAGATTACAAACTCATCAGTACTCGATTGATTGACCGTGAGCTCTCACGCGTTTGCAAAGTGTGAGTGAGTTTATTTCAACAACTTCAGTTATGTGGAATTCACTACCTCAAAAGAGGTTCAAATTTAAGTTTACGAAAGATTCACTTATAGTAATTTCACAATATTACTAGTAACGAGAATAAATATAAATACTAATTTAAGCTCCGTACTTGAAATAGTGGGGGTTGTAGTTGGCTTTCGTGTTCCTGTCATAAATGGTGTTGTGACGTCATCGAGACACTCTGGACAAATATCGATATGATTTTCTGTATCTATGATGTCATCACCATCATAACATAAAGATGATGAAACGACTACTTTGTCCTTATTAACACACGATCGACGCCTGAATGGAAACAAACAAAAATCAAATGTTTGGATGTAAACGCCGTATGGAACTAAAATCAGCTTGGATTAAATATTCAGTCAGTAACCAAGTTGACTAAGATACAATGATTATAATTATACACACACAGTGACTTCTTTTATTCCTACATGTTGCGAAAAAAATATGTTTAGTAGACGCCCTGCATCTCCGCTCAGGATACCATTCTACGCGTGCAGTCATAAAAGGGAAGACGCTAATATATTTGGTATGGATTCTGTTGGTTTCATCGCGGAGCAAGATTCTCTGGTACGACGTTAGCAACGTTAAAACTTTTTTGTTGTACATTAATTGAGGTCAGAGTTGAAAGTAAGCTCAGTAACAACAAAGATAAACAGGCTGATTTGAGAAGCAGATATCATACCTGATTCTAGTACACGATTCAGTTATCGTTCCACATTCACTCCATGTAGACCATTCTTGCCATCTATTACAATACGATTCGTCAAGTCCATTCTGACAATCCGTAATTCCATCACAGACTCGAAATTTTCCGATACATTCAGCAGATGTGGCAACGATGTCTTCTTTAACATAAACACGACATCGGAATTGATTGAGACAATATTGACAATTGTTTTCATCAGAACCGTCGACGCAGTCTTTGGTACCATCGCAAATCTGAAATGGAATTTTGAAGGTATTATTATGCTCAATGCGTGAATTAAACAAGTCTGATAGGAACAAGAGAGAAATGCTCAAATATACCAACACAAACGTTAAATGACAAATATGGACAGAGGCCGTCAGCAAAAAACTCCAGAAAATGCGGACGAATTTTACCGAATGTCATGTTAAGGTGTGCCTGTGGATTCCAAAACCAGCAAAACTTTGGATGACATATTGACTGTGTACCCGATGACTCCACAATTCGAAAACGATAAAGTAATTGCACCTAGCAAAGGCGATATTTTTCACAGCCGTAAGAAGAAAAACAACAACAACTATACAGCTAAACGATCCATGCGTACATTTCGATTCTAATAATACCAAATAAGAATAATATATAATAAGTATATAATCCAGTTTAGAAAATTTTCCTTCATTTGCTTGCAATAGGTTCTCAAAACGACGTGGGGATGTTGAAATAATACAGATGTGTTTTTTTTTTCGTGTGAAATTTGAATTTTATGGAGTAAACTTCGGCAATTGCCACGATTTCGTCCTAAGATAGATTTACTTCCTTTATTTGTTTGCAATAGGTTCTCATAAAGACGTTTTGTTTTTTGTTTTCTTGGAGACATTAAAAATTTTATGGAGTAAACTTCGGCAAATACCAAATTTTCGCCCCAAAATTTATTTCAATATTTCGGAATCGAAATAAATGACAAACATGACTCTAAAATAAAAAGGAATTTTTTTTAAATCTTGTAGGGCATAGGCACAAACTTTTGTCAAACAGGATATTGATTTGAAGCAGATATACTTTCAACCTCTAATGAATATCATTCGAGATTTGTTGGTATTAAAAAAAATCACACGAAATGTAAAATTTTTTTTTATACCGTTACTAAGTTGATTATTGAGTTCATTAAGCACAATAGTTCTACTCAACTATTATATAATTAATCGTCAACTTTCTAGAAATTGTAATTTTTATGCATTTCAATTTAATTCATTGATAATTTCAAGAAAGATAATCATAATTCAAGTAAAAAAACACGATATTAAATATCATGCTTCGAAAGACATAGTAACTTGAACTGTGATCACATTGTAATTAGGGTGTGCCTTTCTCCGGCAATGCTTTATAACGGCATCATCAATTAAAGGCATCTTTTCGTAATATTACGTTGCATTCTTTTATTATGATATCTTATTATTGTATTATGACATCATACTACGTTTTATATAATGAAATATTTGAATTATGACGTCACAGTTACAGATGAATATTCGGGGCTCCCGAAGTATGCGAACCAAGATGGCGGACATCGGAATGTAATATGTGTACTAGGTTAGGGTTAGGCCATAATTTTAGGTATAAATATTACGGGAGGCTCTTGGCTAGTCTTCGAACTGATAATAGGACTAAAATGAGAAAAATTGGAAAAGAATTATCGCCTAACCCTAACCTGTTACCCATGTTACGTTCCGATGTCCGCCATCTTGGTTCGCATACTTCGGGAGCACCGAATATTCTATATAATGACGTCATATTAGTTTATTATTTCTAGTAATTGTATTGGCATTCAAGACAATAAGTAAAGCGAAGGATGAATTTAATTTTAATATTCTTAGCTGACGTGTTGATCCCATTAAAAAGCAAATAATGACAGATTTAAAAAAAAAACAATGACACTAACATAAAAATGTACAAAAACAACTAAAATATCACGATAATATTCAGTCTATTTAATTGATTCCGACGAGCGATGTTGAAGAACCATATTGGATTATGATGTACCAAATCTCACACCTGCTACATTGTTAGCGCAGCAATAAAGTCGTCATAATTGTCATCAAATTGTTTTCAATTCGTCTCACAAGATTTTCGCCGTTGCCGCAACAATAATTAAAAGGCAATATAACATGATCGATAAGTAATAAAATGTCGCAGATAACGGAAGTTCGAGGACGAGTATATTTTTTGCTGCATTATTTGCCAATGATAAACTTTCTCTTGGCGTCAAGGTAGAAAGAAACACAACATGTAATAATTTTCACTGAAATTGAAACGCTTTGAGAGGATTTTTAGCTGAACGGGTTGGATTCGAAATCAAAAAGTATATTTATATGAAATCCTCCATAACTTATAATACGTACTTTTATTTCAAAAAACAAATTTGAATAGTTTGACATTTAAAATTATTAACAAATATTGAAGTCAAAACATTAAAAATATTCGGTTGATGAATAAGTTATGATTTTAAACAAGGCATATATGACAAACAAAAAACATGGATTTCGAACAAAAAAAAACGATCTTTTTCAAATAATATCAATTCAAATTTCGTTTAAATCGAATTGTATGTACATTATATTACATTTGAGAAATTGTCAATTACGACTTCGAAGTACACACCAGTCAGTATTTGCGAAATCTTCCGGCCTCATGCCAAAATAACCTGCTATTCACAACCTCCATATAAGCACTATAAACGGGTTATACTTACCATCGACCACAAACTCTAGGTCACAATTTTGTACTTGATTGATAGCCGCAGAAACCCTTAATTGGGGCATTCACCTATTAACGTTGTACAAGTTCTATGAACTTCAATACATTATTTATAATAATTTAACAACACGCATTATAGATATGTCAGATGGTGTCGTGTAAACATGAATATAGATATCAATACGTTTTTGACATTATGTGTTTACCATTACCTGTAAATCAGCGTATACCTGTGATACACTTGACCCTGAATTTACATAATGAGTGCAATATCATCTGCAGCTTTCGTGGAAATCGGAGTTCAACAGAGAAGTAAACGTGGAAAATTATTGATGATTGATTATGTGTTATAAAATTGATTTGGTTTGAATATCAGCTATTTGAGGGTGGATTTAGTCGGGCATATTTATCTCAAATGTTGTCTCTCAATTTTGACATTTTTGTGTTTACTTATTCAAGAAACTATCATTAGTAGACCAATTCTGACAGTCCCGTTTAAGGAAATGTGAGTATGTGAGAAAAGTTTTCAAATGTAATGTTTTAAATGTCTTTAAAGAATGAAATATTTGTAATTGTAAACGAAGTGTACGTATGAATCGTTTTGTTATTATGTTGTTGTTCATCCTGTTAGTATTTCTTCTATTCTTGCTATAAAAAAATCACTTTTCTCATTAACTACTGGACCAATTGCTTTGCAATTTGCAGTGGTTGAGATTGTATTTTTCGCTAGAAGGCTATTACTTTTATTTATTTCAAAAATTTTGTGAGCTTTTTGGGATTTGTTTTTGTGTGCGATGACGTCATCAAAATTTAAAATTGCTCGCTAGTTGCTATCTGGTGGTAAGTCGAAGTCGTGAAGACTGCGGTACCGATAGTCCACTGCGACAGATTGCATACCCATACTACTTTTTCACATAAGAAGTGAATTTCAACGGGAAAACACAATTTTTGAGAAACACCATTCTATGGTTGAAAAGCACAAAACATTCATGCTTTATTACTGACTGAAAGAAATTTCTTAGAACCTAAAAATTCGTCACAAACCTGAGTATAATTCAAACATTTAGGATGTTTTCCTCCGCATAAAAATCCATCACACCATCCACCATAATACGGACATAAAGTTTCGTCTTTTCCACCTCGACAGTTTTTAACGCCATCACAAACCTAAACATAGAAAAAGGTCGAATGTAAATTTCTAAAATTTTACCGTGAAATAATGCTGGAAAATGACCTATTTACCCTGTTCGAAAACAAAATAATTTGCACGTAGATTCAAGTCATGGATATGTGTAGTAAAAATATCTTTACAGACATCACATTTGCATACCAATCTCAGATATATTAACATACGAAGACGGGTTTTCAGCAAGGTATGACAAAGTCGATGGTTATTCTAGAATTCCATTTATCTCACATTTGCTCTTGCTACACAAAACACCAAAGTCGCGAGAGCGCTATTGGTATTGTTAGGACCACCACTCGGTGCAGCCCTCTCTATGTTATATTACATGAAGTAGTCTATAAAGAAATCATAAGTTTGCGTCTTGGATTTGCGCAAAAACTGTATGGGCCGTAAGTTTCGCTATTTCCTGCAAAGAACTTTAAAACAGCGCTTTTTCCTTTTTAAAAATCGATCGATCTGTGCACAGAAACATTGTCACGATAACTTCAATATATCAGTAAAATGACCGAAATTTTTTGTTAGAGTAGATTTCGTTGTTGCCATTCTCTTCACATTTTAACACTTGTACGGAACATTTGTAGGAAACCTTTATAAATATTCATAAGATTTTCTGATATATCCGATAAAAATACCAGGTACAAAGGTCTCGCAAAACGTAAATTTGAGGTTTTCACAACAAGCAAAAACCGGAAGTGTATACTATTCGTGCAATTTTTCCTAAATGTCAGTAGAATCACATTGTTGGAATTTATATTGGTATTTAGAAATTTGCATATAAGTGGAATGGCGTATTGAACTGAATACATATTTTTTGAAAAGTTAACATTTCATTCTCGCTCACAGAATATTTAGCGTGTTAAATACTAAGACGTTGTATGTATTTAAAGCAAAAAAGTTATCGCGATATGTTGAATCAAAATTCGCTTATCAGTTCATTTTAAAATTGCTGAAGCGATGGTCATAACAGTGATATATTAGAAATAATTAATATCAAAAATTGATTTAAATTGATATCGTAACAAGTTGTTAAGAAATAATCATGTTATTGATTTATTATTATCATTAGGTAAATTGATCATTTTATAGTGTCTCCGATTATAAAGCAAGCAGAAACTACACATACAAGAGTTAAAATCATAAACCTTAAAATTTGCATAAAAATTATGCCTATATTATGAATGAATAGACATTGAAAATGTCGGATAAAAGACCTCGAGTTATGATGCCAGGGTTACTGGCGAATGTAACATTGATAGCTTAAATAAAAGTGCATGAAAACGAAAAATCTGTTGGGTAGACGATGCACAACAGAACAATACGAGTATAGCGCTTTATGTACAAGCATTGTTTGAAGCGAGAAACTCTTGTTTAAATGATTTATTGAAAAGATAAAAAAGTCCACTACATATTTTCATTCCAAATCAAAATACAAGTAGGGATGTTAAAAACGAATCAAATATTCGAATACATTCGAATTTTATTGTACTCGATATAAAAAATTTTGAATCCAGGAATTATTTAGAATATTTATATTAAAAATTGGAAAATTTAACCCTAGCATATCCAAACGAATGATATTACGCCGATTTAGATGGATGGTTACCAACATCGGGTTTGGCCATTCACTCCAAGCTAACAAAATTTGTGATCAAATTCTTTAGCACGACGTTTGAAACGCACAGGATATACTGTTCGACGCAAATAAAAAAAAATTGGATTAAACTTGTTTGTGTGAGCAAAAAAATGCATATCACGGATCACACGAAAACAAGGCAGGGTAACTTCACAAAACCATAATGAACATTACGCACCTTAGACATTGGTAAACATTGCTTTCCATCAGTTTGATCGTTACATGAAAAAGTATCATCTTTACATCCGTAACATCCTTTCTCATCCCAACTATCATAACATTGTTTGATGCCATCACACTGTAATAAAAAAAGAACTACTACTTAAAAAAAAGCAAAAATTACAATTTCATTTGAATTATGCAGTTATGAAATCCACATTTATACAATATTCGGATTGCCTGATTTTTGTAATTTCAATTTGTGAAAAAGTTAAGTCTAGTAAAATCCATCATCAAAATATAGAATACTGTCTTGAATACTTCTTCTAAATTTTGTGAATTAACAAGAAATTTGTCAACTATGCCAGGAAGATTTGAATGGAATTATATTGATTCATATTTTTTATTTGAGACTAATTTCAATCTGTGTTTCAAATTAAATAAGTTCGAAGAATAAAAAAAAGAGTGCTTTTTGGCAGAAAAGTTCAATTATCAATTTCTGTGATAACATGAATATACCGAAGAAAATTTTTTCGTCATTGTCGCAGAAGATATTCGCGCTGTGGTCTAAAAAGGTAATAATATATCGTAAACTTACTCTTGTTATGTTGTTGCATAAATGCTTCAAATCGGCCGGTTTGCAGTGACCAACAGGTTTTACTTTTCCGTTACAGCATTCATGGCTCCATCGTTCGTCAATCAAAAGTACTTTAGCTTCATTTGAGCATTCCATACAAACGTTAAGTTCGTCATTATATTGCGTTGCATTTTCGTACGTATTATAATCATTTACGTCTGAATAGGTACCGTTTATGCACCATCTTACTTCGGCCGCCGAAAAATCGCATTGTAAATAAGTCATAACAATAGCAAGAACGTAAAATTTCGTCAGAGAAAACATTTTGGGTCAAAAGAATTCGGAACACTGAATAAATCCGTGTAGAAAATCCCGCACTTTCCTCGGAAGAATTTGTCTGAAAGTTGGCAGCAACTTAGAATAGTGTCTTAGTTTTCCGGCATCTGTCGAAGTTTTGTACTCCGCTGCATGAAATTCAAGATTCTTCGCTTAAAATAAATTGGAAGGAGATCAAACGGCTATCGGTAGTCACCGAAAGTTCACTACAAAGTCCTAATGATTCAGTCGTGTTCCGGATCGAAATTCAAACACCGTCGGTCTATTATTGTGCTGTTAACATAGTAATAACAATGATAATGGTAAAAATAATAATAATAATAAACCAAGTTTTTGACGACACCAATATCGAGAAACAATATATCAAAGCGTGAGATGTAATCGAATATTGAGCCTTCTAGATATTCTAATGCTCCCCTGCTGAAGGTTTAATTTACCTATGGCCTAACATGGTCCGGATATAACCTAAATGACAGAATACATGTATCTATGTATATCACACACTTTTTGCTTTACCAGACGATCACTCAAGTGGGTGAAGATAGTTTTATAAGAGTTATTTATGACCAAGCTTAATCATTGATTCTCATTATCGACTATTATTACCAGATTATACCTGGTCAAATAATGATCAAGTATGTTCCAGTAGCGTAAAATCATAAAGAGCAACCTTACACCCAAAATGCCCGAGGCCTGTTATAAATTATCCTTCACATTTGTAGGTGAGCATAAGACAAAAACGAGGGAAGTTTCGTCATAAAAACGTCATTTGTAATACACCCCAGTTTCAGGAAACTAAATAGCCTTCAGTATTCTACAAAGGGACACGACAAAGAAACGGAGGTGACGGATAGAAATGTCATCAAAGTATTTTCGTGACTATATTTGGAAGTTTGCGACACAAGACCAAAAAAGCCAATGTGGGTTGTAAGAAAGCTCAATTTTCAGACGTGATCGCTTTTAACAATCGAAACTACAAGCTTTGGAATCTACAAGGACTTGGAATGACTGTTAACTTTCTTACTCTCATCACAAACTTGAACTAACGGTCTGTGCTGATTTTGATCTGAGCTAGATAAGTTTGAAAACCGAAACTCGGGAGGAATAGGTTGGTTTTCTGGAGGGAAATTGATAAAGAATGGATTTCTCTTCAACAAAACTGCACAGTCAAAAATAAAAATCACCATTGCTCTATATCTGAAACGTCACTCACTGGCATTGCTCTTTTCTGAATTGTGATTTGCTGAACTTCAAATAACATTCTGAAACATCCCAGTAAGCATATAAAGGCTGATGTAATTTTTTAAACAAAAAACGTTCCTCCGTGAAATGACTTCAACTCAAATTCCCGAAATAAGAAATTAAAAACTTGCCTAATAGACTTTATATACTAGTTTAAATCTTTTTCGTTTCTTGTTATTAATCGCATGGAGATTAAGATGTTACCACGGACAACCAGTCTAGAAACACGGCTCCAGATACAGATCATAATCCGCGAATCAGTTCAAAGTAAACGGCTAAGAAGACATTATAATTCTACGCTTCAAAACGTCAGAAACACAAGCGAGTCTTCGAAAGAAAAGATTTACTATAATTACAGTCGAAAAGTCATTAAATATGTACATATTTGTTTCGCCTATACTTGTGGGTAAACAAAAACGGGAGAAACTATGCTGGCATAGCAAATTATATATTTCGCAGAGAATGCGACCAAAATAACAATGCCTAAACCCAAGTTATGACAGTGTCATTACCACATCACCCACGAAAAAAATGGGTAAATCCAGTCCTATCCAGATTAAGCAGACCCATACGATGGCCAAATTATGTTTATTTTACCACCGGTAAGGCTTGAAAGAACTAAGAAATTACGACATTACCATTGGTCAAAAACAAGTAAACAAGCATTTTGCATTGATCTTATACTCTCTTTCCCCAGCGTAATTTCAACTCAAATGTGAAATCTGACCTTTTTTTAAATCCAACAATCGGGCCTATTATTATTGCGGTTCAAATTGCGTACTATTGGCGTCATATTGTTTCTCACACACTTCGAAAATTTACTGTCAATTGTTATCTCGTTAATTTTTTATGCTTTAATCGCTTTCGAGTGATTGTCTACTCCCTAAAAACCCTAAAGCTATGGATGATCTCTCCTTGTGGTATAATGCAGAAAGTAAAACTGTTCGGCAACCTGATGCCACCTGTGCTATCGTCTCTAATAAAACTAACATAATAAAAGCAGGGGTTTAGATTATGGAATGGAAATAATGCGATGGCAATTTCTCGGTGAACAATCCACTTTGCTGAAGACGCGTTTTCAGCCTGGCCTTTGCTGTTGAAAGAACGAAAATGTAGCTGGACTCGGCAACCGTATGATTTAATTAGACAGTGATTTTAAAATAATTTTAATCTTATTGTAATTCGTGCAATAGTCGTATGATGAAGGCGAAATATCATTATGCTTAGAGCCTGAGTCAATAAAGTCAACTTGACCCCAATAGTCGAAGCTTTTGGTTCTTGTTTCCAGCGACTGTATCTCGAAATCAAGGTAACGATAAATCAAAAGAAATACATCTCCCTGAAGGTATTTTGTCCTCAAGAACTTCCAAATAACGGCAATTCGGTAACGATAAAAGCAGGGGAAGCGCCCAAATTATGTACCTTTATCCAACGCCGATTATAAAATAATGAATTGAAAAACTATTTCAGGAAGACTGGTTTACTAGGAACGAAGTTATTTTATAGCAATAAACCAATTCCCGTTGTCACCTACTACGCATCTTAGTTTCCAATATTTTTTTCCAACTCTACTAATCTGATCGACCTATCTACGAAACAACTTCCATTACAAATAATCCCTTACTATAAGATGTAATACAACATTACACCGCTACCCTTACAGCTACGCACAGAATATGACATAGTGAGACATTTACATTTTCAATAATACTGATGTAATCGTTGTAAATACGCGGCATCTTGAGCACCGTAAAAATTGCAAACGTAATTAACCTATAATTAATTATATTGAAAATAGAGTCGTGATCGTACACGCGTTGTCGCAAATCGAATTTTAGAAACGCAGTTGTGTTGAACGAAATATTAGCTCTTGATAGGTGAAAGGGAAACGGTACGTGTTACTCGCTTTATAGCATGATTTAATGTCGGAAATGCCGAAACCCAAAGTGGCAAATCTGGCACAAATTGCATATAATTATATCCACGTGTATCTTTGCACCTAAAACCTTTCCAAATATAAATTATCCACACAGCAGAGAAATAGAAACTCACTCAACTAGAAAAAATGTTACTCGAGGCACATTACAAAAACCCCTCACTATGATTGAAAAATTCACTCTTGGCTTAATTAGCTAAGTAATCAACAAAACGGAAGTGCAAATGCTAAGAAAATCGCATGATGGAAAGCGTCTTGGTAGAAGCTTTTTAATCAATAGATTTCAAATGTGAGGACAATTAATTAGTCTGTTGAACTTAAAAATATTCCAAGTCGCTTGTATTTGATCCAAAATATTTCATTATTTAAACCAAAAAAATAAATAAATTCGGATGGAGGCTTACTAAAATGGACTAATATAAATATCATCACTGGGGAACGAGCTAGAGAAATTCATTCGCCATGTTCATATTCAATTATCGGTAGTGACTTCTAATTTTCAATTTTATACCAAATTTGAGCTGTGTTACTATGTCATGACTTCGACAGTGTTTGGCATATTAAATGACGAATGCAGGAAATTTTGCAAAATACAAAGATCGAAACAGGAGATTTATTACCCGAAAGCAAAAATAAGCGATTGACAGATGATATTGGCAAACATTAAAATTTGCAAAAAATTGTATCACTTTCGTAAACAGGCAAGATCAGGAAATTATTACAAGATTCAAAGCATGGACTTAGCTTAGCCTCGCAGGTTAAAAATCCCATACCCAGTGCCCACCACTCAGCATGTAGGTTATTGGTAATCACGAGCCGGAAATATTTCAATCTTTCAAAATATATCAGCACCTTACGACTGCTTGTAAAGAGCACTGTTCTGAGCAAAACAACTCGATGCCGATTTGTTGATAGAAATAGGGACGAAATCTACAGGTTTCAATCAAAAACCCTAATGCGACTCAAACGGTCGCTAAATGACCTCGGGATGGAATGAGAAACAATAACAAAACAAATGTTAGTGTTACTACTATTTCTATTGAATTTATGATTGTTATTGTGAGATAATCGTTTACAAACACCTGATTAATTTATTATGCTGTAAATCGCACAATAATTGTCAAACAACCTTCTAAAATCTGGAACGAGAGAAAAAATTTCGTGGATGTAAATCTCTCGTTTCCGAACAAAGCGCGTCATGGGCGGGGGCGAGAATCACGACGAAATTAGTCGCCCATAACCACAGAGCAGAAGGATAATATCAATTTGAAGCCGCATTGAAAACTGTATATTGTATAAGAAGTGTCATCCTTTTTTGTGTGTTTTCCTTTCCATACTACTGAAAACAGGACATCAATGCTCAAAATATATGGACACGAAAACCAAAATAAAGTAGTAGGCACGGTACGGTTCCCTTCTTCGACTGACCACGAGATCACAACGATCGCGAACGCGGAACCGCCAGGTGCGAAATTTTCAATTTCGATGACGTCATCACACACACAAAAAAAACAAATCTCATCGAGCTCAAATAAATTTTTAAAATAAATAGAAGTAAGGCTAGCGATAACATAAATCTTTAACAACTGAAAATTTCAAAGTAATTGGTCCAGTAGTTGAAGAGAAAAGGCTTTAACAACAACAACAACAACAAGAAAAAGAAGAAAATCGACAACAACAACATGATACCAAAATGGTCAATATGTACACTTTGTGTCCAATAATCCTCAAATGTGCTGGACTGGGTAACACATATTTATCTTCTATATTACACGATGGTAACCAAAAATCACTACAAGGTAAAGAGTGTCGTGAGATGTGATTCCTCTTGAGAATCGACAGCAAAGTTCAACTATAGGAATGTTAATTACCTTGGGTGAGTAGGCTTGCCACGCGAGCAGGTGTTCCGATCGCAAAATGAACGACGTTCGACTCTAGGAATTTAGCCTGAGCTTCTGGTTTCAAGTGACGAGCAAATAATTTTGCAGTCCTGCAAAAGGTAAATAACAAATCTGAAATTCTTCTCCGACTCCAACAGAATTCAATAATTGGAACAGGGTCAAGGGTCAACACCATCAAAAAACGTTTTCAAGATTCTAGTTTGAAAGTACCCACAAGACTTGGTTGATAAATTATAAAATGATTACGGACTTTCGCCTTACTTGAATTGTCATTTGTCCAAAAATAACGAATCACATTTTAATTTGAAACGTGGTTTAATGTTGCACTTACTTGCAATTATCGCCCTTAAACACACCGGAATCGCGATTCAGTTCGAGAGATCTGTTTGCGTTGGCCGAGAGAAGTAAAACCAATGGCGCCATCTTCTGGCTGTGAGCAGATTTCAACTTTTGCCACTTGGGGAGTGCTGGTGACGAAACAAGAAGTAGGATTAATAAGAGCTAATCAAGAGGCTGTGGAGTCAGGGAACAATATCGACTGCGACTCCCGACTCTGAGTTGTAATAAACCCCGATTCCAACTTCCAGCTCCGATAAAATCAACTTTTTATATCAAAAACCTTTGCGTATGCAAGCCTTTATAATAAACTGTTGAGAATGTTTAGTAAACTCTAAGATTTTTGTGTTTATAATCTAATTTTGTTTGCTTTTTTTACATCAAGTTGTGTAAAGGGACTGAAACCTATGGACACGGGAATATTCACTTGGCTAACACAGACAGTCACCAAACTCGTAATTGAACTAAAACAAGAAAAATCGGAATAAAATTATGACCTAACCTTAACCTGGTACACATACCTCGGGGGTACCCTTTTACCACCGGGGAAATCCGACTCCAGTAAAAACATTCCAAGCTCCGACTTCAAAGCCCTAGTGGGGATATTTCAATAAGAATGTCTAGGATGTACGACTACATATAGAGTACCGTTTAATTTGAATAAAATTTCGGGGGGGCTCCCGAAGTATGCGAACCAAGATGGCGGACATCGTAATGTAATATGTGTACTAGGTTAGGGTTAGGCCATAATTTTAGCTATAAATACTACGGGAGGCTCTTGGCTAGTCTTCGAACTGATAATAGGACTAAAATAAAGAAAATTGGAAAAAATTTATCGCCTAACCCTAACCTGTTACCCATGTTACGTTCAGATGTCCGCCATCTTGGTTCGCATACTTCGGGAGCACCAATTTCGGATCAGTGTAGTACTTTATTAACTTCTATAGAGCGTGAGATAACTATGGCAATGCGGTATCATTATTATCTTCCAAATAATCAAAACGTGCAATTGAATAACTTATCGCAATTGGAATTTTCATAAAAATTGACAATAAAAGCTTAACAAAAGATTTATGCATTCATTAGAAAACCCCGTCGACAATGAAATCAATAATAATTAAAAGTAAAAATGATGAAGATTTATTCATATATTTACGCCCCTTTCGTAAAAAATTTATAACAAAAATGCATTACCTTCTTTTAAGAAAGATGTCACAGTGTGAGAAAGATCGCAATTGGTTGGCCCGAAATGGTTATCTGTGATAAAAAGCATTAAGAAATATTGTAATTAGAAAAATTACTGACGGGAATGTGTTTTCGTGTAGACCAGGACTGAGAGTCTAAGTTTGCCATGTTTTCGCTAGAGTCCGGGGCTGGTGGCAACTTTTCAATCTGTCCGAAGTCGGGAGTTAGAGTCAAAATTTGAAATTATCCGGAGTCGGGTGTCGAAATTTTATTCTTTCAATGTTGATAACAAATGTCAAATTTTATTTGAAGACTAAAAGCATCAAGTTTACTACGCGCTCATAACAGTCTTATTAAAAAGGCTTGCGTGCGCCAATGTTTTTATTATCAAAATTCGATTTTCTCCAAGCTAGAGTCAGAGTCAAAGTTTTTCAACCAGGAGTCGATTATAGCAGCCTGGTGTAGATATGTCAATATGTTTGATTTTCACAGCAGCTCAAAATGATACATACTGCCAAACAAGAGCAGTGGTATGTAATTACCAGTTATTTTTGAATTAATAATGTCGGAAGACGTGAATAAACATAGGGAGACATTCAAAGAAGAAAAATTGAATTGGCAACGGTATGTATTTCTTCGACAAATCGCTATATTACAGTTGGATGGTTATATTACTGTACACGCACAGCATGGGTCGACAAACTGCATATTTTTTTGTGGCCCGTTGTGGCTACTCGTTTATTTTGTAACAGTAGCGGAAGCACATGTCAGTTGTCAGTGAACTTGCGAACGTCTACCTCCAGTTGCTGATTAACACAAAAATAGGAGTTGCAGGTGCGTCATAATTGGAAGTTTAATGTAGCTATTGTATATAGGCGGAAATTACTGCGGCCAGCAAGCTTCCGCCAATGTGCATATTTAGCCCAGTATCTCATAAAGTTTGCCAACCACTGCTGTACCGTGTCACTTCATTTGTTCAGTTAATTGAATATTCTTAAGTAATACAATGTCATTAGAAAGTGATAATCATTACCTGATAGAGCTATTGCATCCCTTTCTACTGCCGAAAGTTTTCCCGCGTAAAATTCTTCAATCGCTTTCAGAAAGACGTCAGGGGAATCACCGCCTTCGGTTAACGTCACTTCAGTGATGCGCTGAAAGGTTTACTTAAGTTATTATCACCTACTTTCTCTATAATAAAATTGATTGCAGATCGGTGGGATCCGATCTCAAAGGGTATGAACATACTCAAAAACGAGAAAACGGAGCGTTTAAATGGATTTTATTATTGATTCATGCTTGGTGAAACATACATTATTTTTACGCATATTTTAATTAAAGATACTCATAATCAATGACTGTAATGGTGCAAAATATGGCGCGGTGTAAGCGACAATGATAATTGAATTGGACCATAATGAGTTGAACATGTTATCTCTTAATTAATGGTGAAAGCACCTACTCGCTTCGAAAAGATTTTTCAGTTTATATCTGGGCAAAGCTCGGCAGAGAGTAAATTCTGTTGAACCTATATGCCGGAAAAGTATATAACGTATTGTCCCGCACAGAGAACGTTCAGAATGACTATATTCAATGCAGCGAGAAGGTCGGGTGAATAAATATCCGAAAAAGTTTGAGAAAAGCAATCCTTGTATACTTTTACTAAAACAGAAATGCAACAGGAAATTTCAGGTTTCGGTACAAATCGTTGGAGAGTAGGACAAAGAAATCTGTTGTTGTTAGCGAGTGCGATGATTACGTGACTACATCAGTCATCAGTTTCAGTCTAGTCTAGTCAGAATAACATGGTATAAGCAATAGTTGATAACTTTTTTAGTCTAGCGGCATATTGCATACAGCCTAATTCGGAGCAAACAGCACTTTTTTTTGAATAATTTATCTTCATACTAATATCAAACCGACTCCATGTGACAGTATAGTTTATCAAATGTTATCGATGTATATGTTATGCTGAAATTTTTACCTTTTTCTTTGGCCTTTTTCTCGACTTTTTTGCTGCCGATATTTTGTCACCGTCGGATTGATTCAATTTTCGTTTCTTGTCAGCTGCAAAATATTTTACTGACTGAATAGAAGTTATACTTGTACCATATCTGGTCGGTGAAAATAACCGCAAAGTAGGCAATTTAAGGACGGGCCTCAACCAATGCGGGCCCATTGCGAAACGGATTGCGCCCATCTGTATAGGTCACGTGGCCCAGAGCCGGTATTGGTAAGACTATACTCTAATAATCTAATACATAGGTTATCAAAGTGCGCCCTACGGAGCTCCAGGGCTTAGCGAGAAAACTTAGGTACTCAGCAGGCTATTAAAATACTGACTTGGCTAGTTTTGCAACAGCCCAGAAAAGCAATAACGACCTTAATTGAACCGAAATCTGAATATTTTTTTGAATATAAAGCAGTATTACTTCCAAGTCATAAAACAATGTAATTTCAATTACTCGGTAACATTAATCGGCAATCGGTGTTTTTTGTTTTTATTTTCAAAAATTTATTGTGGAACTCCGTAAATAATAGTCAATCTCCTCACGGGCTCCATAACACCAAACGTTTAAGAACCCCTACACCAGGGGTCGGGAACCCATGGCTCGCGAGCCATATATGGCTCTTTTGGTGACGGCATATGGCTCCCAAAAAAAATCTAATATCCCAAGACTAAGCTTACTATTGTTACGAGATTTCAAACTCTTTTATAGCCAAATTTGGCAGGAAATGACCAATACGTTTGAGAAGGCGCGTCCAGCACATGTCTATGTTATGTAAGATAATTACCAGACAGGCATTGTGACAAACAAGGGGATTCTGGAACATATATTGTGACATCACGGAGCGATAGAGTTTTAAAAACACTACGGAGATACCTAAACGAAAAAGGGCGATGAGTATCGTAGATTTCAACTTGGGCTGCATGTGAGCAACCGTTCAAGGCCCGCAGCGACTACATGCAGCATCAGATAATCACATTAAGTGTATACTGACATTGTATGTGTTGACTTTTGAGTAAACATTTCAGGCCTGATTAAGTGAAGAAATGTTATATGGCTCGCACGGAAATGCAATTGAAAATATTTATATTTTATGGCTCTCTTGACCAAAAAGGTTCCCGACCCCTGCCCTACACTATTATTTTGGTACCGACAACAATTTTGATGACTTACATTTGGAAACAGCATTGTCGCTTTCTTCGAGGTTGCTTTTGTCTTGATCGCTCTCTTTATCATCTGAAAAAAGTATTATTTATTTAATATGAAGTCATCTAGGAATAAAAATACATGTTTGTCTTATACGACAAAGATTATTTAAAATAACGGATGGAAATCCAATTTAATTCCGTCCTCATTCGTTTAACAAAGTATTCAAATGACGACGAAAAATCACGACAAGTATTGTTCCCCAGATGCCTGAAAAAAATGAGATTTTAACTTCGCGAATTCTGTACAAAGCTGCAAATCCAGCCACATCTCACATATGCTTATTTTATTCAATCCTAAAAGCTATGTCGGAAGCTTTGTTGAGATCGGAAGCAG